CATTCTCTCAGCTCCCAGAAGTGCATTCTCTCGGCTCCCAGAAGTGCATTCTCTCGGCTCCCAGAAGTGCATTCTCTCGGCTCCCAGAAGTGCATTCTCTCGGCTCCCAGAAGTGCATTCTCTCGGCTCCCAGAAGTGCATTCTCTCGGCTCCCAGAAGTGCATTCTCTCTGCTCCCAGAAGTGCATTCTCTCGGCTCCCAGAAGTGCATTCTCTCGGCTCCCAGAAGTGCGGCGAGCGGTTGATGTTGAACACCCGAGTGAGAAGGGACGGTTGGAGAGGATGGTCGGGGAGCGGGTTGGGTGGAACACAAGAGCACACTTAAGCCCAAGGGCTTTTTCTCTGCTCCCAGAAGTGAGGACGGGGGGGTGGGTGGGGTTGGAGGGCGGGGGGCGGTTGGGGGGTTGGGTTTGTGCAAACTGTTAGAATATAGCATAATGTATGTTTATATTTGTGCATGTGTTACACCCTAAAGTGGGTGTACACTTTGGGTCAAGGCGACCCAACCAATTTTGGTTGGGCGCCCCCAAACCCAACTCGACCGCAATTGACGGGGGGGGGCCAATAATGGTCCCCTCCAACGATTGTTGGTTACCCCAGCAATTGTTGGTCGACCCAATCTGATTGGTCCACCAATAAATGCTGAGGGTACCCCACTTCGTTCCCAAAACTTCTCATCTCCTATATGTACCGACACTCTTTCTAATCAAGACAACACTTGAGATTCTTTCATGGTATTCAGAGCCAATTGGCAAACGCCCCTCTCGACCTCTTTCTCTCAAGTTTTTTTTCCTCCCCGCTCGTCAGGACCCTTCCGTCCTGCCCATGCAACTTGTTGCGTGGGTTTGACTTGGTTGAAGTTCAATCTTCCGTAAAGTACAACCAGTCACCACCTCCCTCCAGCTCCTACTCTATCTCTCGTAAGGCGAATTTCTCGCCTCAGCTCCTGCCGCCGCATTTACGTTCTCAGCTGCCGGCGTCTCAATCGCCGCGACCTATCCACCGCCGCCCATACCTCCCCAGCTGAGTCATACTCTAGCTTTCTTGGTCAGCTAGCTTCTCCCTTGCCTAGCACCACCTCCATGTATCCCTCTGTTCTTAATAACAGTGACTTCCAGTATTCTGCGTCTCCTTCCCCGCTCACCTTGGACTTTGTCCTCGATAGCGGGGCCACCGTCAGTGCCCTGAAGGACGCTGGCATTCTCAAAACACTATCTCTCCCCTCCACTGTTCATGGCGCTGATTCTAGCTTCTCGATCCCATGCACACACTCCTCTACTCTTCCGTGTCCCCTCTTTCCCTCCGGCACTATCACTGGCCTCCACATTCCCACTCTTCGTCACAACCTTATTTCTCTTCATGATCTCCAAAAAGCCGGCATTACCGCCATTTTTCCTGCCCACTTTTCCTATTGCGATCTCATTCATACCTCCACTGGCCGCCTTGTCTATCGCCTCCCAATCTGCCCCCGCACTCACCTTTACACACTACGTCTCCCTTTTCCGGCATCATGTCATCTCACCACCCGTCGCTCCACCTACCCTTCTCCCACCATTGCTCCTCCCCCTTCATCATCTCCCACTCCCTCTACCTCTCCCGACCTCTCCCTCTCTCACCCCGCCATTCTCCTCCATCACCGTCTTGGTCACCCCAACTTCACCACCCTCCGTGCCGCAATATCCTCTCGCCTCCTTCATGGGCTCCCCCCTGCCCTTCCTCCCCTACCCACCTCACCAGCTCCTCCTTGTCCCACTTGCATTCATGGCAAACTCAAACAAAAACCCCATCACAGCCATCCCTCATTTGCTACTGCTCCCCTAGATCTCGTCCACATGGACCTCTGGGGTCCCTCCCCCTCCCCTTCCCGCCAGGGCCACCGCTTTATGCTCGTCCTCGTAGACGACCATAGCCGCTACTCCTCTGTGTTTCTACTCCACACGAAAGCTGAAGCAGCCGCTGTCATCATCGCCTGGGCCGAACAAGCGCGCGTGCACTTCGGCCGACCCATCCGTCGCCTTCACTCTGACGGTGGCGGGGAGTTTCTCAACCATACCATTGCCTCCTACTGCAAAGCACATGGCACTCAACAGACGTCCACTCTCCCTCATTCTCCGCAACAAAACGGTGTAGCTGAAAGTCGCATCCGTGAGATCACCAAAACTGCCCGCTGTCTCCTCACCCATGCATCTACCCCTCCCTCCCTTTGGGGCTATGCTCTCACTCATGCCGCCCTTCTCACCAACCTCTACCCTCACCCCCACCATCCCAACCTCACTCCCACTGAGCTTTGGTGCAACTCCAAACCTGATGCCTCCGTCCTTCGCGTCTGGGGCTGCAAATCCTTTGTTCTCATTCCTCCCGCAGACCGTTCCCGCAAAGCAGGAAAACTTGCCTCCAAAGCATTGGAGTGCGTCTACCTCGGCCACAATCGTGGCTCTCCTGGGTACCTCTTCCTTCATCCTCCCTCCGGACGCCTCATTCGCAGCCGCGATGTCGTCTTCGATGAAACCATGCCCTACTACTCCTCTCCTCCTCCCTCCGACCCTCTCCCCCCACCCTCCCGCCCACTCACCTGGGCGGATGCCCTTCTTCCTCCTCTCCTCCCATCTGCTCCACTCCTCCCAACTACTCCACTCTCACCTCCACCTTCCTCGGCTGATATCTATGATCCTGCTGCCTCACCTGCCCTTTCCACCGCTCCCCCTCCTCCCTCTCCCCCTCCTCCCTCCCCTCCCACCCACCTCCCTCCAGCTTCTCCTCCTCCATCCTCGCCCGCCGCACCTCCTGCATCCTCCCCACGTCCTCGCACTTCTCTCACCTCACGCTCTCCCTTCCTCCTCCCACGCATGCACACTCGCTCCCTTGACCCCATTCTTGGTCAACCACCTCTCATTCATGAAGACTCCCATGAGGAGTTTTGTGCCATTCACACTCACGTTCCTTCCCTTAACCCTGTGTACCTTGCCCTTTTGGGCGCGGTTGTACTTGGCACTCCCTCCTCACCTCTCATCTTCACGCCTACCACATTCCAGGAGGCAATCACGTGCCCTGACGCTGACAAATGGCTGGAGGCCATTCGCAAGGAGTGCGACGCCTTCATTCGCAATGATTCCTTCGTCGATGTCAAGCCGCCTCCAGATGCCAACATTGTCGCTGGCAAGTGGGTCTTCCGGGTGAAGCAGCTTCCGGGGGAGGAGCCCGTCTACAAAGCCCGTTACTGCGCCAAGGGCTTCACACAGACCTATGCCAAGGACTTTTGGGAAACCTTCTCACCTACCGCAAAATTCGGGACCCTTCGCACGCTTCTCGACTTTGGCTCCCGCAACGGCATGGAGATCTCATCAATGGATGTCTCTAACGCTTTTCTTCAGGGGAACCTCCACGAACAAATCTTCCTCGACCGCCCAGATGGCTTCCATGAAGCCTTCCCACCAGACACTGTCTGGGAACTACGCCGTCCAGTCTACGGCCTGAAGCAGGCTCCTCGGGAATGGCATGCTAAGCTGGCATCTACACTCTGTGCTCTCGGATTTCAACCATCTCACTCTGACGCCAGTCTCTTCATTCGGACCCGTCCCAGCCGCTTCTTCGTCCTAGTCTATGTTGACGACATGGTGCTCCTCGCCGACACCTCCGCCGACATGACCGACGTTAAGGAAGAACTACAAGCTCGTCTCCAGTGCAAGGACCTTGGCGAATTACGCCACTACTTGGGCATGGAGATCACACGCGATCGAGCTGCCCGCACCATCACCTTATCTCAATCTCACTATCTTCAGCAGGTGTTGGAGCGGTTCGACATGGCTCTCGCCAACCCAGTGGCCACTCCCCTTCCATTCGGCCATGGGCTTGCTCCACCCACCTCCCCCTCCGCCTCCACTCAGCCCTATGCGGAACTGGTTGGCTCCATCATGTATGCCATGATGGGGACCCGTCCCGACCTCGCCTACCCCATCAGCGTCCTGGCGCGTTTCGTCGGTACCGGTCGTCACACCTCCGTGCATTGGAGAGCCGCCAAACGAGTCCTACGCTACCTCCGTGGCACTCAGGACCATGTTCTCACCCTTGGTGGTGCCTCTCCCCCGCTCCTCACCGGCTTCAGTGACTCGTCTTGGGCAGACTCTCAGCCGGATCGCCGCTCTTCCCAAGGATATGGCTTCACGCTCGGTAGCGGCTTGGTCAGCTGGCGCTCCACCCGCTCCTCCGCCATCGCCCTCTCATCTTGTGAAGCCGAACTCTATGCTGGTACCATGGCTGCGCAGGAAGGACGCTGGCTTTCCTTCTTGCTAGCCGAGCTTGGGGCCCCCCAGCCATGCCCCACGCTCTGGTGCGACAACGCCAGCACGATCCACCTCACCAAGAATCCGGTCTTCCACGGGCGCTCCAAACACATCGAACTACGCTACTTCTACATTCGCGATCTTGTCCAGCAAGGCCATCTTGCCGTCCGAAAAATTGCCGCCGAAGCCAACCTCGCTGACATCTTCACCAAAGCTCTTCCGAAGCTAGCCCACCGGGCCTTCCTTCGCCTTCTTGGCCTCTCCCCGGCTTCATGATTCCGGGGTTGTGCACACTTATAAACCTCTTATGCTACGGGGTTGTGTTAGAATATAGCATAATGTATGTTTATATTTGTGCATGTGTTACACCCTAAAGTGGGTGTACACTTTGGGTCAAGGCGACCCAACCAATTTTGGTTGGGCGCCCCCAAACCCAACTCGACCGCAATTGACGGGGGGGGGCCAATAATGGTCCCCTCCAACGATTGTTGGTTACCCCAGCAATTGTTGGTCGACCCAATCTGATTGGTCCACCAATAAATGCTGAGGGTACCCCACTTCGTTCCCAAAACTTCTCATCTCCTATATGTACCGACACTCTTTCTAATCAAGACAACACTTGAGATTCTTTCACAAACAAGGGGTGGAAACAAGGGGTGAATGAAGGAAAAGAGGAGAGGAAACGCGAGTGGTTGATGTTGAACACCTGTACTCAGAGGGGTTGTGCGGGTGAGGAGGAGCGGGGAGAGAAGAAGGGAGGGGGTGTTTCTTGGGAGAAGACAAGAGGGGAAAGTGATGGTAGGGTTGGCTAATCATGCTTCTTCTGCTTTTGAAAGAAGGGCATGCGTTGATGTCAAGCAAAGAAATGATGTCAGGACAAAAAGATGATGTCAAATCCATTTACATACAATAATCATGATATAAGGTGTAGATAAGGGGGGGTTTGAAGGGGTGGGGGTTGGGGAACATGAGACAGGGAGACATGAAATGGTGCTTTTTCTTTGGGGGGGGGGATCTGAAGTGTTAATTCCATGGCTTGATTGTATGTAACTGCAACCGACGCTCCTTTGAGAGGAGGGTCAAAGGGGAGTGTGGGAGAGGAATCTCACAGAGACAAAGAGGTCGGTGCCCTTGGGAAGATTGTAGCCCTCGGGATTGCCGTTGTACCCAGCTGCCATGGGGACATGGGGAGGGCCATGGGGAATGGGATGGGAGGGATGGTGCTCATGATGGGATGGGATCTGAGATAAGATGTGGTGCGGAAGAGAGATTTGATTTGAGCAGCGTCACGACGCGCACATAGAAGCAACAATAAGAGTAAAACTGGGGTTGCTTACGTGGCAGATGGTCATTGGCCAGCGCGCGGCGAATGAGCAGCGGCGGTTGGGGGTAGAGCCTGAGAGCCTCTGACACCACTAGGCGGGTGTACCTGAGAGGGGAGAGGGGAGAGGGGAGTGGGTGGGGGAGAGGGATGGGAAAGAGGGGTGAAGAGAGGAGAGAGGGGTGGTAGAGCGGGGTGGGAGAGAGGGATGTGAACGGTGTTGGAAACCACTAAGATGACGAGAAGGCACAGTATCGAAGAGGCTGATTTATTGCAATCATTGATGGTGAGAGAGTGAAAACCATGGGGATGTAATGTAAGCAAAATTAGAAGGAGCAATGCTCTGGATGGACTGGAGGTGCCTTGTGGTCCACGGATTGATGGTTGGAGAGGATGATGATGACGGGAGAGGAGAAACATGCATGCATGAAGCCCACAACACAACACACGTTGGTTTGAGAGTGTGGCACATCACTCACTCGAGGGACTTGATGTCTTGCAGAGTGGCCAGTCGGTCGCCAAGCACTGTGTCCACCTCCTCCTGTAGCTTCGCCAGCACATGTGGGTTCTGTGAGGAGGGTTGAGAGGAGAGGGATTGATTGAGATGGAAATGGGAGATGGAAATGGGAGATGGAAATGGGAGATGGAATGGGAGATGGAATGGGAGATGGAAATGGGAGATGGAAATGGGAGATGGAAATGGGAGATGGAAATGGGAGATGGAAATGGGAGATGGAAATGGGAGATGGAAATGGGAGATGGAAATGGGAGATGGAAATGGGAGATGGAAATGGGGGATGGAAATGGGAGATGGAAATGGGAGATGGAAATGGGAGATGGAAATGGGAGATGGAAATGGGAGATGGAAATGGGAGATGGAAATGGGAGATGGAAATGGGAGATGGAAATGGGAGATGGAAATGGGAGATGGAAATGGGAGATGGAAATGGGAGATGGAATGGGAGATGGAAATGGGAGATGGAAATGGGAGATGGAAATGGGAGATGGAATGGGAGATGCAAAGGGGTCAAGAGGGAAGGGATGCTGCCGGCACTCTGTCCACCTCCTCCTGTAGCTTTCCCTAGCACTCGTGGGTTCTGTGAGGGGTGAGAAAAGGGAGGAGGGTGATGAAGACGTGAAATGGTTGTTGAGGCGCCTCAAATTTCAGATGGTTACGAGGAGTGTGAAATATAAGATGGGCAATCAGGAAAGTGAGGTGGGAGAGACAATCCAACACTCCCACTTGGAAGCACTCATGCGCATCTGTGAGTGACCCTGTAAGCAGTGAGCTTTCGTGCCCAGCATGAGATGAGCCTACCTATCTACCTACACGCTCTCTCCCTGCATACCTGGCATGGCAAGCATGTAGGTGGCCCAAATGAACACAAGAGTGGGCTCATGCCCTTTGAGTTGACTCAGAAGTCACCTCAGTACCTGAGCAAGCACGTAGGCACTCCACACACCTGGCCAGGGATGTAAGTGGCCCAGGTGAGCACGGCAGCGGTGGTCTCATGCCCACCCACCAGCATGGTCATGAGGTCGTCCCTTAGCTGCTTGTCATCGCGGTCAGCATGTGTGCATCTTAGTTGCGGAAGACGCGTGTGCATGTGTATCCACCCACTACCTACTTAGATGCACCCCCCCCGCAGCACCCCCTGCTCCCACGCACCTGAGCAAGCATGTAAGTAGCCCATGTGAGCACGGCAGCAGTGGTCTCATGCCCAGCCACGAGCATGGTCATGAGGTCGTCCCTTAGCTGCTTGTCATCGCAGTCCTCCCCCCTCAGGTCCACCAGGAAGCGCAGCAGACTGGCGTCCCGCACCATGCTGTAGTCCCTCTGCTGCAAGGCCTCTAGATCGTCCTCCTGGCAGGTGGGAAGTGGGGGAGCAGAAGCAGGGAGGGAGCAGCAGGCAGGGAGAGAGCAGCAGGCAGGAGAGAGATTAGAGGCGAAAAAGGGGCCTTTAGAGTCCAGTGGTGCTGCAGTCCCCCCCTCAGGTCAGGTCCACCAGGAAGCGCAGCAGACTGGCGTCCCGCACCTTGCTGTAGTCCCTCTGCTGCAGCGCCTCTAGGTCGTCCTCCTGGCATGGCACAAGTGAGGGATAGGAAGGGAGGAGCAGGGGCGACGGGAGGGGCATGAAGGTGCAGGGGAGAGGAGATGCTAAAGAGAGGGATTCAGAGTTCTCTGGTCCCTGCAGGTCAGCCTACTGGCACGCGTGGGAAAGATGCAAATGGGTGCAAATGGGTGCAAATGGATGCAACCTTTAGATGCATATGTCACTTCTCCAATCTGACCAACCCCTCGCTTGCTGTCTCCCCAGCCCCTCGACCTCGATTGCAGCCTCCTTTCACCCCTCATCTTCTGGCCTCACCTGGCGTGTGGCGCGGGCGTGGGTGATAAGGTCGTGCAGGCAGTCGTTGTTGACCTTGACGTTCTGCTGGCTTAGATTGCAGCACTGTGAATGCTAACCTCTCACTCCGCTCATCTCATCTCATCCCCTGGGCTCACCTCACCTCACGCGTGGTGCTCACCTGGCGAGTGGAGCGCGCGCGGGTGATGAGGTCGTCCAGGCAGTCGTTGATGAGCTTGAGGTCCTGCTGGCTCAGATTGCAGAAGCGTGACTATTTACCTCTCACCACCCTCATCTCATCCCCTGTGCTCACCTGGCGAGTGGAGCGCGCACGCGTGATGAGGTCGTCCAGACAGTCGTTGATGAGCTTGAGGTCCTGCTGGAACTTCATTTGCCGCGGTACCAAGTTGACTTTTGAGTCGACTCAAAAGTCAACTCACCACCCTCATCTCATCCCCTGTGCTCACCTGGCGAGTGGAGCGCGCACGCGTGATGAGGTCGTCCAGACAGTCGTTGATGAGCTTGAGGTCCTGCTGGAACTTCATTTGCCGCGGTACCAAGTTGACTTTTGAGTCGACTCAAAAGTCAACTCACCTAGGCATGAGCAGGATCTCGAACACCTGTTCGGTTCGCCTCGAACATGTTCGAGGCGAACCGAACTATTTTTTTTTTTGGAAAAAATAGTTCGAGGCGAACATGTTCGGTGTTCGCCCGAACATGTTCGCCGTTCGCCACCTCCATTTGGTGGAGTGTGGACGAACACGAACATGTTCGTGTTCGTCCAGTGGATGACGCGAACACTAAAGTGTTCGCGTCAAATTTGGCCGCGACCAAATTTAGGTCGCGGCCAAGTTGAGTTTGAGCTCATTTTCAAAGCTCAAACTCAACACATCTTTGTTGGTTAGCCCTCCCTCCCTCACCCACCATAGGCTTCATCCCTAAGAGCCACCACACACCGTTCCCTAATTATTACACGAACATTTCAACTAAGTAGTTCGTAGTAGTGAAGGGTAATTTCAGAAATCGCGAGGGGTTAGTTCGTAGTAGCTACAGGATCAATTTCGTAGAGGCTAATTCCCTAGTTGTAGGGGCGGCATTTCTCCGTGCCACACGTAACTAGGAGTTCAATTAGGACCGTGCTATCCGTGGCTTGCGACCGTTCCTTTGGGGTTTTAGGGTTTTAAGGCCGAGGGCTGATTTATGGCTTCCAGCCAACATGGATCTGTAGAACGAGGTGCACGCAGCGCTCAGGGCGGTACACCAGGTTCTCCACCACGACCTATGCAGGGGCGAGTAGGGGATGGACCTGCAGGAGCCGGCGCTTGTTTCGTCGGGGGGTTTCTTTCCGTAGCGGCGCCGACGTCCCGTCACTCGTTCCGTTACTCATGCCCGCGACCCCCTCCTTCTGGGCAGACGCAGCCGGAGAGTGGCAGTGGGGAGGAGGATGAGGAGGAGGAGGGTGAGGGCGAGGAGGATGAGGACGATGAGGGGAGCGGGGATGACAGTGAGGCCGGGTGGGATCCCGAGACGCATGGCGGTGGGAAAGGGGGGGATGATGAGGAGGACCATGAGATGGATGGGTTGGAGCCAGAGGAGGTGGAGGAGGGGGTGGGAGAGGGTGGTGAAGGGGCGGCGACAGAGGCGGCCTCACAGCATGTGGCTGAAGGAGGAGGGAGCCTGGGGGTTAAGGTGGGGAGAAAGCTAGCATCCATTAGGATGCCGAAGCGGAGGAAGAGGGCGAGCAAGTTGAGGGAGCGAGCATATCCCTGCACATTCACTGGGAAGCCCTTGGGCGTGGGTGTGGTCGCTCCGGAGTTCCTAGACGAGGACGGAGGGTCCGAGAGTAGTAAGGGGACTAGCAAGGGTGATAAAAAACCGGGGTGGCAAGTACAGATGTTCGGGCCTAAAGGGGCAGACGAGAAGCGTCAGTGCAAGATTTGCACTGACAGGATTTCGTGGAAGCAATCCACAACAACACCCGGCGAGCGGCACTTCGAGAGCTACCACACAGCGCACATGCACGTGTGGCATCACCGTTACCACACTCCGTCCATTCACTTGCCTGGGGAGACGTTTCCTCGTGGGGGCTACAAGGGTGTGCCGGATGGCTACGTCGATGGGTGGCCGCATGCCAAGTCTTGGCCGCATCTCGCAAAGAAGAAAGGGACGGCGTCTGGTGGGGCTGAGGGGTTCATGACAACCAAGCTGTCCACGGAGGAGCTACGGCAGGCGATCGCCAAGCTGGTGGTCACCTGCGACCTCCCCTTCCGCATCGTCGAGTCCGAGGCCGTGAGTGTCCCATGCCTGGTGTTTTGGCAGCATGTGGTTGACTATTTCATGCTTTTATTGTAATCCACCATTCAAATGTCCACCATTCACATGTCCACCATTCACATGTCCACCATTCACATGTCCACCATTCACATGTCCATCATTCACATGTCCATCATTCACATGTCCACCATTCACATGTCCACCATTCACATGTCCATCATTCACATGTCCATCATTCACATGTCCACCATTCACATGTCCACCATTCGGATATCCACCATTCACAGTTGTCTCTACTCTACCCTCCTCCAGTTTCGGGAGCTATTGATCATGCTAAACCGCAACTGCGCACAGAAGAACTTCATCCCCTCGCGGTGGACGGTATCCCGCGACACTGTGGTCTATGCAACAGCAGCTCTCCAGTCCGCCATTGCGGAGATGCTGGCGAAGGAGGGGGAGTTGGGGTGCAAGGTGTCGATCACCATCGACATGTGGACGGCACCCAACAACAAGGCATGGCTACTGGTGACTGGTCACTGGATAGACGAGAACTTCCAGCTGCGCACAATGGTGCTTGAGTTCCATGAGATGCTCGGGCGGCATGGGGGCAGGGAGATGGCGCAGGTGGTTGAGGAGACGATTGTGCAGTGGGGGTTGGAGGGGCGTTGTCTTGGTTTCACGACAGACAACGCCTCTAGCAACATTGCCGCCTTCAGGCGGATGTCGGAGGAGGGTGGTGGTCAGTGCTTCTTCAACTCGCGCATGCACTTCCGGTGAGTCTGGGAGTGTCTTCTTCGCCCAGACACAGGTAACACATGTGTTTTGTGTGGGTTGTTGTAGTGTGTGGTTATGTCATGGTGTGGTGTGTTAGCACGTCTACACAATATTGTTGGTCAAGCTTGTATGTTGCCGGCCGGATGCCAAAATCCTCCTCCATAATCACAGTTTCCCTCATACCTCCCCCCAAACCATTCCCTCTACCCGACAGGGCTTGTCGAAGACCGACAAGAAGAAGGTGGAGAGTTTGCGCCTGACAGACGCAGACTGGGAGACCCTGCAGGCGGTGAAGACATTCCTAAGCCCCTTCGCCAAGGTCTCCAAGGCAGCAGAGGGGGCGGCGTACCCGACTGTGTCGATGGTGGTGCCGTACTACAACGGCCTGATCGACGCCATGGAGTCGCGCCTTGCCAAGGGGCCATCTCCGACGCTGCAGCCGATGATCGTGGCGGCGCTGAGCCACTTGAAGAAGTACGCCTACATCACCAGCAACGAGTACTGGATCGCCACCTTCTTGGACCCTTCCATGAAGGCGGCGTGGTTCGACGACGCGCACTGGGAGAAGTTGCATCCCGAGACCGACAGGAGGGTGAGGCCGCGTCCGGCGTCTGGCGAGGTGATCAAGCTGGTGCGCGACCGCGTGGCCGAGTACCAGGCCCGGGCTGCAGAGCTTGCTCCACGGCCGACCCCACTTGCCCCCGTTGCGGAGGAGGAGGAGGGAGACGAGGAGGAGGACGACGATGACGCGCAGTTTCTCCCTAGTCGCCGACGACTTGCGGCGCGTCTGTCGGCGAGCCAGGATGCGGGGGCGGGTGGGATGGTGCAGGACGACGAGGTTAGCAGGTACTTGTCCGAGAGGGTGCGGTGCGACGTGACAGCGCTAGAGTACTGGCGCAGTGCCACCAACATGCAGACGCTGAGGCGCATGGCCCGGGATTATCTCGCCATCCCTGCCACGTCCGCTTCGAGTGAGCGGGTGTTCTCCCTTGGTCGCAACCTCATTTCCTGGAAGCGGCACCGCCTGGCCTCTCAGAGGACGCGAGCTGTCATGATTCTCAGATCATGGTACAGTTCACACCCTGGCCAGAGGATAGGCGAGGGCCGCCGACCGAGAGGCGTCGCACCACCAGAGTTCGCCATTGAGGGCGAGGGGGCAGAGGAGGATGACGAGGAGGAGGAGGAGGAGGGTGTGGAGGCTGACGACACAGCTGGTGGAGAGGATGCTGTTGTTGGTAGTAGCAGTGCAGTGGCGCCTTAGTCACTTAGTGTAGGAATTTGTTAGACTTTGACATTTCCCTTCACAGTATGTGATGTTGTACTATTGGGTTCGTTGCATGCACACATATACACCCTGCACACATTTTGCTATCATCCTGAACCTTGAAAACTGTTTTCTGACATGTGTGACTATAGTGAATTTTCCCCTGGGCGAACACGAACATGTTCGTCTCGAACATGTTCGTGTTCGCCTGCTGAAAAAAATCGTTCGCCACATAGGGCGAACGGCGAACACAACTTTCACCTAAATAGTTCGCCGAACCGAACAGTGTTCGGTTCGGCAAAAGTACAAGTTCGAGGGTGGGCGAACTCGAACATGTTCGAGTTCGCCCTTTGCTCATGCCTAAACTCACCACCCTCATCTCATCCCCTGTGCTCACCTGGCGAGTGGAGCGCGCACGCGTGATGAGGTCGTCCAGACAGTCGTTGATGAGCTTGAGGTCCTGCTGGAACTTCATTTGCCGCGGTACCAAGTTGACTTTTGAGTCGACTCAAAAGTCAACTCACCACCCTCATCTCATCCCCTGTGCTCACCTGGCGAGTGGAGCGCGCACGCGTGATGAGGTCGTCCAGACAGTCGTTGATGAGCTTGAGGTCCTGCTGGAACTTCATTTGCCGCGGTACCAAGTTGACTTTTGAGTCGACTCAAAAGTCAACTCACCACCCTCATCTCATCCCCTGTGCTCACCTGGCGAGTGGAGCGCGCACACGTGATGAGGTCGTCCACACAGTCGTTGACCACCTTGAGGTCCTGCTGGAACTTCATCTGCCGCGGTACCACCAGGCTGATGGGGTGAAGGGGGGGAAAGGGGGTGGGGTGGGGAAAAGGGGGTGAGGGGGTGAGTGGTGGTGAAGGGGTCGAGAGAGGGTGGCAGCCGTTGATGACCTTGAGGTCCTGCTGGAACTTCATCTGCCGCGGCACCACCAGGCTGATGGGGGGAAAGAAAACGGGGGGGAAATAAAACGGGGGGGAAGGGGAGGGGGGAGGAGGACATAGTTGAGGCGCAATGGGGAAACGGTAGCGATTCAAATCTCGCACACATGCACCCGCATCCATTCCAGTCAACAGAAACTAGGCACCACTCAAGTAGCACTTCACGGGGCATCCCACTTAGCCATCCAACCACATCCATTTTACAAGGCTTTGATCCTACTGCTAAAAGGATCTTCATCTTGCTGCTCTTCCCCAATGAGACCTCACATTCGTGTACAGGCCATCCCACTTAGCCATCCAACCACATCCATTATACAAAGGGCATACCCCCGTAAGAGCGTCCCACGCACCCACCCTATAATGGGTATGCTCCCATAAGCGCGTCCCGCTGATCCAGCTTATCAAGGGGATGTTCCCGTATGGGCGTCCGATTCACAGACCATATAACGGGGATGTTCCAGTAGGGGATGTGGAAGGTGGTGTGGTATTCAGCCTCTGGCAGCGCGCTGTACACGGCCTGGATCACGGGCGACTCGCACTGCCACTCAACTAACACTTCACCCGCCGGCCCACTAAGCCATCCAGCCTCATCCACCTTATAAAGGGGATGTTCCCATACACGTCTCACACACCCACCATATAACGGGTATGTGCCCATAAGCGCGTCCCACTGGCCCACCTTATCAAGGGGATTTTCCAATAGGGGATGTAGAACGTAGCACGATGCTCGGCCTCCGACAGCGTGCCGTACACCGCCTTGATCACCGGCGACTCGCGAGTGACCGACCCAAAGTCATAGTTGAACACGGAGATGCCAATGATGTCCAGCGCTATGGACGAATATTCTGACTCCATGTCCACCCGCACGCCCTCACCCCCCGCCGTGGCTCCAGCCTGGTCGCAGAGCGCCTGCAGCTTGTCCACGGATCGCATGGAGCACTCAGAGAACACCAGCGCCATGGCCTCCAGGTATGCTGCGTGGAATCCCGGTACGATGGCTGGGGTGAGGGTGGGTGGGGGTGGGGTAAGCGGCAGGGAGAGGAGGGGAAGGGGAGGCAACAAGGGGCGGTGGTTGAACCCGGAAATCGCAATGATGTCCAGCGCGATGCGATGGACGAGTACTCCGATTCCATTCCATGTCCACCCACACGCCCTCTGTGTTGCTGCCTTGGGCCTCCTGGTCGCAGAGCGCCTGCAGCTTGTCGACAGAGAGTTTGGAGCACTCTGAGAACACCAGCGCCATGGCCTCGAGATAGGCCGCGTGGAAGCCCGGCACGATGGCTGGGGGGTACGGGGGTGGGGGATGGGTGGGTGTGAAAGGGGTTGAAGCGGCAAGGAGAAGAGCGCCTGCAGATTGAGGAGGGAGCACTTGGAGCACTCTGAGAACACCAGCGCCATGGCCTTCAGGTAGGCCGCGTGGAATCCGGGCACGATGGCTGTTGGGCAAGGGGGTGGGTGGGTGGGCGTGGGCGGGATATGAGTCGACTCAAAAGTCATCAAGCACCATGGCTACCAGGTAAGGTGTGTGGAATCCCGGCACGATGGGTGGGTGGACGGGTGGGTGGGTGGGTGGACGGGTGGGTGGGTGGGTGTACGTGTGTGTGGACGGGTGTGTGGACGGGTGGGTGAGGCGGCAGGGAGAGAGGGGATGCTATTGATGTGCAGCACAGTGAGTCACCACTTCGCCTCCACACCCGCCTGCTTCGTCTCAAATTGGCACCTCGCTGGTTGGTTCCATGATCATAAAGCTGCAATGACTGTCCCACTAGCTTTCACTCACCCCTCGCCCTTCACCCCCCCTCCTCACTCACCCGTCACCCCTCAGTCCTCCTCACACTCCTCACTCATCATCCCGTTCCTCCTCAACCATCATCCCCTTCTGGCCCTCATCATCCCTCACCACTGCCCACCACCCCTCCCCACCGCTCACCTCGTCTGCGCTGCTTCCACGTGTCAAAGTCAGCGGGAATGAGCCCCTTGCCCATGATGGGCTCCAGCAGCTCCGCCAGCATGCCCTGCGCCACAACGAGGGAAGGGGAGCAAGGGGTGGGGGAGAGGAGGGAGCAGAATTGGGGGGTGAAGGGGCATGATGGGCTCCAGCAGCTCCGCCAGCATGCCCTGCGCCACAACGAGGGAAGGGGAGCAAGGGGTGGGGGAGAGGAGGGAGCAGAATTGGGGGGTGAAGGGGCATGATGGGCTCCAGCAGCTCCGCCAGCATGCCCTGCGCCATGAAGCGGGGGGTGGTGGGGAGAAGGGGGCAAGCAGCATTGGGGGACACGGGGCAACAAAGAGCAGTGTTGGGAGATGAAGCGGCGTGATGGGCTCCTGCAGCTTTGAGGGCGGAAAAGAACTGCAGCAGCAGGGATGAGAGGAGGAGAAGAACTGCAGGAGGGAGCGGCACATACATGCCTAGCTTACCAAGGATTCACTTTTGAACATTCTCAACAGTGACTCAAATAGAACTGCAGGAGGGGGCCGCACATACATACCTAGCTTGTGATTGTGGTGGGGTGGGGTTTCAATCGGTGTAATCTCTGTCGAGTCAGTGGCGTACCTTGTCATAGGCGAAGGGGTTCTCTTTGAGCACGTGGCGCGCGACTATTGGGTCAGAGATGACCACGAATGCCTTGGGGCCGAAGGCGAGACGGTACACGCCTCCTAGCTGCAGGTGAGGGACGGGGAAGGGGAGGAAGAGGGGGAACAGGGGGGTAATGGGGGAGCAGGGGGGGAAAGGAGGAATATTATAGTTAAGTTGATGGGGCCGAAGGAGAGGCGGTACACGCTTCTTAGCTCCGCACGCAAGGGACGGGGGAGGGGAGGAAGAGGGGGAGGAGTGGAGGGCTGAGAAAAAAAAACCAGAGAGCAGAGAGCAGGAGCAGGGAGCAGGGAGCAGGGAGCAGGGAGCACGGACCTCGAGGAACCAGTTGTGAAGGGCGAAGAAGAGCGGGCGGCGGACGAGGTCAGACACACCTCATTCCAAGTGGCTTGAGAGGGACTTACCAGTGCAGAGAACAAAAAGCAGAGAGCGGGGAGCAGGGAGCAGGGAGCAGGGAGCGCGGACCTCGAGGAACCAGTTGTGGAGGGCGAAGAAGAGCGGGCGGCCGACGAGATCCGACACCTCGCCGGAGGCTGTGGGCATGCCGGACATGTCGCCGCCGCTCAGCACGCGCGTCAGCAGATTGCTGCCCATGTCGTACAGGCTCTAAGGGGAGGGAGGTAAGAGAGGCGGGGGGTGGAGGAGGAGAGGGAGGGGCTTGAGACGTTGGAGAGACACCTGGGCCGAGACGGTAGGCAAGCTCGACATGTCGCCGCCACTCAGCACGCGCGTCAGCATGAGTCGTACATGCTCTGATGGGAGCGAAGGGAGAGATGGGCGGCTTTTGAGATGTTGCGAACGACACATCGCACACATCGCACGAGGCTGTGGGCATGCCCAACATGTCGCCGCCGCTCAGCACGCGGGTGACCAGATTGCTGCCAGAGTCGTACAGGCTCCGAGCGGAGGGAGGCAAGAAGGTCCTTGAGGCGCCTAAAAAATCCCTCAGCATGAGGGTGAGCAGGTTGCTGCCAAAGTCGTACGGGCTCCGAAAGGAGGGAGGCAAGAACGGGGAGAATGAAACCATTCGCATGAAGCCTGAACAGGGGCGCGAGAGCGAGAGCATTGGGAATGGAGGGGGATGTGGAGCAAAGCGCATGGAGGGGGGATGTACCTGCATTACGGGCTTCTCCTTATTAGAGTCGCCATTTCCGCCGGACCTGGACGAAGCAGCTCTGATGGGAGCAACGTGCCGCTGCTTGCCTGCATTCACGCACAGCGCCAAAAGCAGCGTAAAATATCGGAAAAAACAGTTTAAGATTGTATCGCATGGTCGAGCCAGCCGCATTTAACGTGCTTGCGCTACCATCGCCGTTCAGAGGCCTCACACGTAGTGGTGTGAAACAACAACATTCTAGAAGGGGAAGCAATAGCAGTCTACAAATTTCATAATATGTGAACTCGTTGATTATTAGCGTTCTAATTATATGTTGAAAATCATTTATAGAGTTCAATGGTGATACTTAACTCTCAATGTGAAAAAAAAGTGTTATATATATGTACTTTGCTTTGTTTAGCCAATTACCCGCGAACGCAACGCTCGCTGCTGGCTGCTTTCGGCCGCACGAGAGACTCTTGCTCCCTGCGACGAACGAGGAGGCGCTCTGACCGACGCCGACCCCCGCGGTCGACAATGACGCCATGACCGCTCCTCTCAAGCACGAACGACGAGAGATGAAGGAATGCGAAAACTAGACGGGGAGGATCAATCCGAAGCCTCGCGATTGATCTGGCTCCGAAGCAGAACCACTAAAGTCTGCTTCAGAGACCTTGGATAATCGGAAAGAGGATCAGGAGGAGGATCAGTAGGGGAGACTGTCCAACTTGATCAGCTCAACAGATCTCCCAATGAGCTAGAGAGGAACGAGCTGGCGCGGAAAAGCGTGGGGGGGGAGGGGGGAGGAGAAAGAGAGGGACGGGTTGTGGGGTGAGAGCGGGGAATGTCAGAAGAAAAGCAAGTGAAGCGGGAGGGAGAGTCCGCAAGTGGGCGGGGGAGGGGGAATGGAAACTGGGGCCACACGCGACGAGATCGAAGGAAATGGCGAAGTGCGACGAGAGGGTGGGACTGCGCGAGCGAAGACGGGCGAGGAATTTTTTAAATCGTGAGAAATGCGTAAAGAGGGAAGCACATTCGCCATGGTTTATTCACAGATTGTGAACCCCAATCGCTTTCCTTCCGCTTTTACGCGTCAGCATTATCCATATCCAGCGAGTCGCAAAATCGGCAGACGACGTAACAACGTCGGTGCGAAAGTCAGAATATAAGAAAAGCACTAAATATAGCATAATACAAATTTCGAACACCCTATCACACATGCATAATATCCGGATCTTTCCACAAGCTTGAGTTGCTAATTCCTTGCGTTCCCTCACGCGCATTAATGAGTAGAAGATCTGAAACTTCCTTTTCTCGCATCTCTTTCTCGCGCACTTGTGTTTCCTCTTCTATTTTTGCCATACTCTTCTCTTCCAACCTCATTGCCCTTTCCACTTCCCTTGCCTCTTCATCTCTATCCATGTTGCTTTCACCAGGCTCAACCCCATCCTCCCCTTCATCCTCCTCCTCATCATCATCATCATCATCATCATCATCATCATCATCCACACCAACGCTCACCCCTCGTCCCCCAACCGCACCTCGAAGCCTTTGTCTCTTGGCAGGCCCACTGCTTCCCCCATCCTTGCCCACTCTCCTCTTTGCCCTTACTTCCCCCATCTCTTCCGACCTCCCTCCATCATTCAACCCCTTGCCAGACCCAGCATCACCACTTCTTCCCACATCTGCCCTGCCTAATCCCCCTCCGCTCACCTCCCTCGCTTCCAGCTTGTTCTTCCCTCCCCTCTCTTCTCCTGCACCTCCCCACTCCTCACTCCCCACCTCCCCGCCTCTCTTCTCCCCCTCCCCAAAGCACATGCATGCCTCGTCGCGTGGATGCCTATACACACTCCGAGAAACCCTCCTCCTCTTCACACTCTTACTCTCCCCCACCATCGCCCTCACTCGCTCCTCCACCTCCTCCCACTCCATCACCCTCTCCTCTGCATCCCCAATCCACTCTTCCCCCGCCCGCAAATCTTTCCCGCCGCCCAGATCCTCCGCCAGCTGGGCGCGGTTGATTCGCACGGACGGCCTGTAACCATGCTGGTAACCAGATTCGCCGGTAGGAGTACAGCCACTCGTCGTGCAATCAGATCTTTTGTCTGATCTGGAGCCGAAGTACATGCGCCGCCCGGCCACGAGCGCTGCCAGCTGGCTGCTGCCGTCCGCTGCAAGGAAGAGATCTGATTCGCCGGCCACAATTGTTTCAAGAGCTGTGATCTGGATGAGGGACAAGTGACAACAGAGAATAGGAACGCGATGATTGTGAGGAATAATGTGAGTGTGGGGGATGATGGTGAGTGAGGGGGATGATGGTGAGTGAGGGGGATGATGGTGAGTGAGGGGAACTACGGTAATTCCATTATGAGTATGAGGGCAAAGAAGAAGAGGAGCATTGCATGGTGCACAGAGCATGGTGCATGGTGGATGGAACGGAACAGAGTTGGCATACCAGGAGAGGCGAGTGTGAGAATGGGGCGATCTCGCGCGGGGAGAGGAGGGTATCAATGGAGGAGAGGGAGGGGAAGAGCGCTCGCACCGCCTCCAGCCGCCAGCACCCGTTGAACCACCGCCTGCCCTGCCCCCTCAGCTGCTGCTCCTGCTGCGCCCTAATCCGTACCTCCTGCTCCCCCGCAACCCCTTGCCACTCTTCCTCCCTCCCACCCTGCATCCCACCATCCCCACCGCTCAGCACCCCTTCACTCCCAAGCACAACCGCACACGGCTCAGCAGACACCCCTACGAGAAACACCGGGCGCATTCTCCCCACGCCCATGCCCGCCAGCACCAGCGCCGCCTCCTCAGGGGCCACGGGGCAGCGGCCGATTCGGCGGTACCAGTCGGGGGCGTTGAGGCGGCCCTGCTGCTCGAATGCATGCAGCACGGGGAACAGCAGCCGTCGGATGTCCCTCAGCTGCTCCGCCTCCTCCTCTGTTTCGTCCCGCTCTTGGCCCTGGCCCTGCTGCTCGTACTGGTTGTCGTCTTGGCTCTGGTCCTGGTTCCGGTTCTGATGCTGGTTCTGGTCTTGGGGTTGGGTTTGGGGTTGGGGTTGGGGTTGGGGTTGGGTTTGGTCTTGGGGTTGGGTCTGGTTGTGGTTGTAGGTGTGAGTGTGGCGAGGGGTGAAGGAGCAGAGGGAGTAGGCGGCAGAGACGGCATCAAAGGGGATGTGAGCGGCCACGTAGCGAGGGATGCCTGCTGAGGGCTCTGGCTCTTGAGAACCCAAATGGCCTATGTCCGTGTGCACCTGACCAGATGTGCCATTCACCTCACCTTTCACCTGAATTTTCACCTGGCTCTCAACCTGGCCTTCCATCCATTCTCTTTCATATTTTTTGCCCCGATTTTCCCCATTCCCAGCACCGTGCTTCCCTGCTTCATCCTCGCCGTCCATCCACTGCTCTTGCACACGTGGCAGCGCCCCAGCGGCTGATCTCAGCCGTTGGATGGCCAGCTGGGCGGTGGCATGGACGGCTGGCAGGAAGGTGAGGGCGTGAAACATGCATCGACAGCGCAGGCGCTGTTAGCGGGGAGGGGGGAAAGGGCGGGAATGGGAAAGGGGAGAGAGGGTAGTGGGGTTGGGAGGAGGTGAGGGTAGAGGGAAGGGAAGACAGGTAGTGTCAAATCAGTGGGGGGAGATAAGGGTGTAAGCAGGAGTGAACAGTGCGGTGAGGTGCGCTTCGACATGGTGCAAAGTGGTTAAGTGCGTCGTAAGTGAAGTTGAATGCATGGCGGCATGGAGTGGAAAGTGCTAGCAGGGAGGAAGCCATGGAAGTGAAGCAGCAGACCATCAGAGGCCAAACTCCATCAGAGGGCTACGTTGCAGTGTGGTGCAGAGTGGTACAGAGTGGTACAGAGTGCTGCCGTGAAACCAGACCTGAATGCAGAGAGGCATGGCATGTGATGGCAGGCGGGTGAAGTTAACACACCCACTCAACTCAGCAGCATCAAGCGGTGTGCAGTGGTGTGGAGCGGGGTAGTACAGGAGCTTTTCAATCCTGTTGAAACCCACTGTGAGGTGCAGTGTGAAGTGTCATGCCGAGTGGGGTCGGAAGCGAGCTCGTTGAGGAAGCAATGTAAGTGGAGAGGCCCCGCACGCCTCATGAGTGGCAGACAGTGCGGTGCAGAGCGGTGCAATGCAACAATTCACAACACACAGTGCGGTGTAGAGTGGTGTGATAAAGTGTGGAGCAATACAGAGCGCACCTGAACATGCAGTGGCATGGGGTCAGAGGCGAGGGCGTTGAGGAAGCCGTGGAAGTGGATGAGCCCCACCCGCCTCATCAGCGGCACCAGGCGCAGGAAGAGCTGCAAAGGTACCTCTCGGGGGAACTGGTTTTCATTTACCTGCTTGCAGGCACGAAGTGTGACGCTGTTCTGTGATTAAACAATCGGGGAGGTTTTTGTTTGATTTTTTTTTTTGTAAACAAAGGATGTTGTGTACAACACAAACACCCAAGCCATGAAGCCATTTGAATGCTCAACTAGGGTATCAAACTTGCAAAGACTAGAGTAGGAAAGCGGCATGTCTTTAACGACAAGGGCTCACGTTGACTCCCATGATGTTCACATCGAGTGACTGGAAGGACGGTGGAAGCTTCCTGACGACCCTGACTTGAGGCGCGAGCGATGAGATGAAGTGATCCGAGTCAAATACCTCCCCGAACTGGCTGAATGGCGCCCTCCCCTCACGCGCACACCATCCCCTCACCCACACCCCACACAGTCACATGCATGGAAAGAAGCACAAGGCAAGGAAGCAGAGAGCGATGAGATGAAGTGATCCGAGTAAAAAACCTCTCAAAACTGGCTGCTGAATCATACCCTCCCCTCGCGCGCACGCCCTTCCCTCCCTTTTCCCCCCCACGCGCGCACACACGCACGCAGACACACAAACAGAGTCACGCATGCGTGCATGGAATCCCAGGAGCACAAGACAAACACGTACGACCTGTAATCACCGCTGGGTGTGGAAACAATGTACCGAAGAGCTGTGCAGGAGTGGGAATGCCATCAAGGGGGTCGGAGCTGGGGAAGAAAGTGCGACCAGGAAGAACGTGACCTTGCCGCAAGCAAGCCCAGCATTGTGCCGAGCTTTCACCGTGGGATGGGAACCGATGGTCTGTGCAGTGCTGCCGTGCAGACCTAGTGCCACATTTATTGGAATAACCTTTGAGACATCTCAGAAGAGCTGATCGTCTGGATGCATGTAATGCATGCCGGGTGCCACGATGTGGGAGTGGGAGGTGGTTCACCTAGCTGAGGAGAAGGAAAGGAAGTGCGGGAGGAGAAGCGTGGCGTTGAGGTAAAACGCGACTGCTGCTGCATTGCACGTCTGGGGGTCAGGTGTGGAGGGAGATGGTGCATGGGCGATCAGGTGTGGGGAGTGGGACGTGGGAAATAGGGGAGGGAGAGGGGAGGAGGAGCGTGGCGTTAAGTTTCAATTCAACATCACTGCTGGTGTAATGCATGTCTGAGAGACGGGGGGTGGGGGGTGGAGTATGCTTGGAGCGACAGGCCAGGCGAACAAGGGGAGGGCAGCAGGGTGTGCACGGTAAGTCAGGGGGTAAGGGGGACGAGTGATGGAGGAGGAGCGGGCAAGAGGGGCGAGGGGGAGGGGAGACGGAGGGAGAGACGGAGGAAAGCGGAGAGCCACTCCCACAGAAGGGATACGAGTGGGATGAAGAGAGGGACAAGGAGTGAGTGAGAGGAAGAGCCTTTGGAAGCAGAGAGAGCGAGCTTGCCTGCTCCTTCATGAGTGGAACTGACGAGTAGATGGCGGCGGGAAGGATATCAAGCATCGAGGAGGGGGTGGGTGTGTGGATGAATGGGGATGCAAACAACTGACATGCAGGCAGGCAACTGACATGCAGGCAGGCAACTGACATGCAGGCAGGCAACTGACATGCAGGCAGGCAACTGACATGCAGGCAGGCAACTGACATGCAGGCAGGCAACTGACATGCAGGCAGGCAACTGACATGCAGGCAGGCAACTGACCGCGACTCTCAGCTGGCTGAGGCCGCCCTTTGCTGCCACAGAGAAGAACGGACCCGCATCCTCCCTCCTCCCACTGCCCCCACTGTCCCCACTGCCGCTGCTGCCGCTGCTGCCACTGCTGCCGCCAGCAGCAGCGGTGCCATCACCAGCAGCGCCCTTCCTCATAGCAGGGCGGGCAGAGAGAGCGGCAGAAGCAGCGGCAGGAGGGGGGAGAGCGGGATGGCCAAGCGCGCACGGGCGCCACTGCATCGCCTCTGGGGGCTCCTCCCACAGGTCAGGTGGCTCGGGCTGCCACTGCTTCTGATGGCGGGAGAAGGGCGGAAAAGGAGCGAGGGGTACGGATGGTTTTGCATGCGAGCGCACGGGCGCCACTGCTGCGCCTCCTGAGCGCAGGGGTTGATCCAGAGATCTCCTGGCTCGAGCTGCCACTGCTACTGATGGGGGAGGGGAGGGGGAAAGGGGGGAGGGGTGGGTGAGTGGCAGCAGCAGCGCCAGCAGCGCCTTTGCTCAGTGAACGGCCAGCAGAGTGAGCAGCAGCAGTGCCGGCAACACTATCAGCACGAGTGGAGAGAGCAGGGTGGCCAAGCCAAGCGCGCACGGGCACCACTGCAGCACCTCTGGGAGCTTCTCCCACAGGTCTCGTGGCTCGGGCTGCCACTGCCACTGCTTCTGATGGCGGAGGGGCAGGGAGGGGGGAAACGGGGGGAGGGCGGGAGGGAGGGAGGGAGGCAGGAGAAAGGATGAGTGTGAGTACGAGCACTTGACTGTCACTGCTACGCCTCTGGGGGCTCCTCCCACAGGTCAGGTGGCTCGCTGCCTCTGCTTGTGGACATGGGAAGGTGACGGAAAGAGGGAGAAAAAGGGGGGAAATCTGGTGTGAGGGAGGAAAGCAGGTGAGGAGATTTGAGTTGGCAAGGGATGTTGATGGATGGGGAAACTATCGATGCAGGACGAAACTTGGCTCGCCTGGCTGCCACTGTGTCTGCACTGCACGTGGTAGTGGCAGCGAGCGGGGGCAAGGGAGGTTGGTGAGTTGGTGGGTTGGTGGCGGGCTTGCTTGCGGAAACACGACGGAAACAGGACGGATTGAGCTATGTGACTCCGACGGGGAAACATGGGGAGGAGGATGGGGGGAAAAAGGGGGTCACTGGGCTGCACGCACTCACCGCCACCACCCCCCGCACACACACTTTTGAGGTGCCTCAAAAATCCTTTCTCACCAACCCTCCCGCTCCCTCCCCCCTCACTTCCCCCCCCTCCGCCCCCAAACTCACCGCCACCAGCGACTGGGCTGCGAGGCCCAGCAGCCTGCCTCGCATCGGCGCCGCGCGATTCCCCTCATCCAGGCGCAGCGACGGGTACAGTAGCGAGGAGCGCAATAACGGGGTATTCTGTGACCCCTGGGACAACCCTGACGACCATGACGTCGGATTACGTAAGCTTTCCTGTGCTAAAATCTCCTCTGCTCCCCAGCTTTCTCTTCTCCGCCTCAACTGTTCCCCTCCTATCGTGCTTGAAGCAGCGCGCGTGCGATCGTCACCGATCTCCACCACGAATTCTACATCCCACAGGCTGACTAGAGCTGCGGCTAGCAGCAGCAGCGCTAGCAGCGGGTGCGGCTTCCGCAGGCAGGAGAAGCGCGGGGAGCGGGGGAAACGGAGGAGGGAGGGGAGGAGCCCGGCGGTTCGTCGCCGATCGAAAGAAGCCTGGCGTGAGAGGGAGAGCGACGACTTGACGGGCGTGAGAGAGAACGGCCACGATTGCAGCCAGAACCGCAGCGACGATCGCAGCCGTCGGAAGATCCTGTTGCAGCGAAAAACGCGGGGGGGAGGGAGGATGGAGCCGGCAGAGGGGGGCCGTGGAATGCCGGCCGCTGATCGCGGGTAAGAGGACTGAAGGGACACGCTTCGACGGACATTGCTAGGGAGAAGGCCGAGCAGGACGGAAGCGAGGGAATCGCGTTCAGTGGTGAAAACGGAGTGTCCCGTATGGAGGACGGGAATGACGGACGTTGGTGCGAGCGTGACCCATGCGCTGCTGCTGCTGCTGCTGCTGCTGCTGCTCACTAACTGATTTGTGGTTGGTTAGGGGCTGGCCGGTTTGTACGGATTATGCTTCGAGGCTCGGGACGGCTCCACACGGTGGAAAGCCGGAGCTTCGTTTACCGATTTTCACGCGACGAAACGCATGAGACCGCAAAGAACGTACAAGAGGCGTACGAGCTCCATACCCCTGGTGAAATCCTCCCATGATATGGACAGCCTCGAATTAGCCACCTGATTCCGCCTGCATTTACTCGGACAAAAGTTTGTTATCTTGTTCTAGTGTGAATCCTGGCAAACAGTTGATAAGTGTAGCAGCTATGACTGCAGAAATCACCATACCAAGTCGCACAAAAACACGCGGAACCATATCATACCGCACATACCACACCTCAGCATCATCCTACAACTGAGGACCACTCGCCTACTGCCCAGTGACCAACCATTCCCGTGGCCCAACCCAATCCCCCAACAGCCAATCGGCGCGAAGAGGCACCACAAACCAATCCCAAGGCGCACCCACCTTTTTCCCCTATGCTTTCTCTTCCTCTCCCCCTTGTTGCCCGCATTTCGCGCCGTCCCCGCAGCACGGCGTTACGACGAGGAAAAGCAACTTCGCTGATGCCGGGAGCCGTTCCTCGCGCTGATTGCGTCACTGGCTCGCGCGAGTGACTCGTCGCCCGATTGCAGGGATCGCTATTGATACACTCGAACATCCATGGCAACGTAGCTTGAGAAATCCGTAGATTAAGCTACTCGTCATCACCCGCAACTGTAGCGTGTAGGAATCTGCGGGCCGTTGTCGTGTCGCGCCATCATGGACAGGTGCGCGGCCGGCCAGAGTTGCCGTGCAACCCGATTCCCGTCGCTGTCGCCAACGCAGCAATCCATTGCCACGACTGTCAGCCAGGCATCCTCTCGCAATGCCGTCTCGAATCCTCAACGGTCACATGGGCTCGTCGCCGCTGCGCCTGGTGTCCGACCTGTGAGCGCGATCGGCGCCGTTATCCCCGCATCCGTGCCGCATAAGCAGGAGCAGGTTCGAGGGGATCTAAGATCTCGGATTTCATCGTCGCCGTTCGTTATCAGACCATGCCACGCTGGCAGCTCTTCCACGTGGACGCGGCCGTCTGGTAATTCTGTGCCACGTGGCGTGCACGGCGCAGGGATTGGAGTGAGATCGACGAGGTTTAGGGTACGGTGTAGCACGTCTGAGTCAGCAACTCCTGTACACGTGGATCATGCAGGAAATTTGAGCGACGCGGTTATTGAGCGGGAAAGCAGCAACAGCAGCCAGAATGTTGAAGGTTCGTCGGAAGCACCATTCCCTCTGTCCGGCGTATTGCTAGCTGCCACGTGTATGGCGATGGTTGGTGCACAGCTGGTGGCGTCGATACCAGCTCACGCCGCTTCTGCGGTGTTGAAAGCCCCGTCAAAAACGGCAGCAGCACCGGCTGTAGCACCCCCAGCAGCACCAGCAGCGCCGTCTGCATCTAGCGGCTCAGATGCAGCAGCATCCGCGGCTAACGCGGCGGCAGCAGCTTCTGAGCTCGCAGGCGCGGAAGAAGCAACAACCGCAGCTGCTGCAGCGGAAGGCGCAGGCGTGGGAACAGCCGAGGCGGCAGGCGCGGCGGCGGGCGCAGGCGGAGTGGCGGCGGGGGGTAAGCGCAAGGGGAAGAAGTCCGGGCGGGAGCGGAAGGGGGGACGAGAGGCGGCGACGATGGAGGTGGAGGAGCGCGAGGCGTGGGCGCGCGGGCTGCCCGTGGTGCAGGAGCGCGTGCCGTACTCGCAGGTGGTGGCGCTGAAAAGGTCAAACGAGCTGAAACACATCATCAAACACCCGCAGTCGTCGCTGCAGGTGAGTTGAGTCGATTGTGAGTCGAGTGTGAGTCGAGTGTGAGTCGAGTGTGAGTCGGTTGCTCCGCTCCTGGCACGTGGCACGCACTTGTCGGGGAATTTTCCGGTGGTGCAGCACCGCGCGCCGTACTCGCAGGTGCCCACAACCCCCGTCCCCACCCCCCACTCTCAACTCTCCCTCTTCTTACCCTTCCCAGTCGGAGCCCGAGCGGGTGTTCCTGGTGCTAAAGGACGACCGAGTGGTGCGCTGCATGCTGCCGCCCCTCGACCGCGACCCCGCCTTCTGGGCGGCATGGAAGGATCTCAGTCTAGATTCGCTCACCATCAACGCCTTCTCGCCGCCGCCCGCGCCGCCCGTCATGCAGCCCTGGGGGCTCTGGGGTCCTTCCTTGAAGTTTCTGCAGGACTGGGGGTGGGTGGGGGGAGGGGAGGGCCGGCGGGAGGGGGTTGGGGGGAAGGGGAAGGGGGGAGCGGAGGGGGCGGGGGAGACTGTGGGGAAGGGAAAGGGGAAGGTTCTGACTGCTAAGCAGAAAGCGGAAGCTACTATGAAGGAGCGGGTGAGGAGACTTGCAGAGGAGAGGAAGGAGACGGAGAGGAGGAGGGTGGAGAAGGAAAGAGAGCTCAAGAGGCAACGAGAGGAGAGGATTCGGATGGAGAGGGAGGAGAGGAAGAGGGCGGAGAGGGAGGAGCGGGAGCAGCAGAAGCAGGAGGAGCAGGAGCAGAGGCAGGGGGGGGCGAGAGCGAAGAAAAGAGGAGCGGGAGCAGAGGAGAAGAACGTGGAGGCGAGGAGAAAGAAGCTAGTGGCTCAGGTGGCCAGTCAGGAGCGTTGGGGGTCGTTCTACAAGCAAGCGGCTAATAACGAGGGCGTGCGGTTCCTGATCGGGGCGGCGTTCTTTGTCTTTTTCTACTTTGGGATTATTGTGAATGTGAAGAAGAAGCGCAAGGATTACGAGGATCGGATCAAGTTGGAGCGGGCGGCGGAAGAGGAGAGGAGGAAGATGGAGGGGTGGGAGGAGGATATGGAAGAGATGGAAGCGAGGGAGGAGGAGGAGGCGGAGCGGGAGAAAGAGAGAGAGAAGAAGGGCGGGAAGAAGGCTGGGGTGGTGGTTGCAAAGGGGAAGGATGGGAAGGAGGCGGAGGATGGGAAGGGCGAGGGGAAGGGCGAGGGCGAAGGGGAGGGGAAGGTGGAGGAGGAGAAGAACCAGGCGATTCTGGCCGGCATGCGCTTCATGCGGTCCGGGGCTAAAGTGCGGCGCGCACGCAAGGGCAAGGTGAGGGGAAGCGACAAGAGTGCTCTGCTCTCACATTCACTGATTCTTGCTCACATGAAGTACAAGTCTGAACGTGTTCTGCATGCACCGTTCTGGCCGACATGCGCTTCATGAGGTCCGGGGCGAAAGTGCGGTGCGCTCGCAAGGGCAAGGTGAGAGGGGGGAGAATGGTTGGGAGGAAGGTGAGCCGGGCGGAAGGGCAAGGTGAAAAAGCGCAGAGAAATCCTTTCACATTTACTGACTCGTGCTCACATGAAGAGAAAGCCTTTTCCAGAGGGAATCGGCAGTACCTTTGAAACCCCTCATGCCTCCTTCTCGCCCTCCTCTCCCTCCCGTCCTCCCCATCCCGCCCAGCGCACGCGCTGCCCCACCTACCTGGACCTGAGTGCCGAAGTCAAGTCCTCGGATGTAACAAAACTTGGTGAAATCAGGCTGAACTGGAGAAAATGGTGGAGTTGTTCCAATCTGCTGAAAAGTACCGCTGCCTCTCTCCAAGTTTTTCCCTCTCTTTTTTGCCCACCTCCTTCATTTTGTCTCATCCCTACCCTCCCAGCGCGCGTGCCGTGCCTACCTGGACCTGAGCGCTGAAGTCAAGTCCTCGGATGTAGCAAGATTCGGAGGGATTCGCCGGGAGTTGGAGGAAGTGGTGGAGTTTTTCCAATCCGCCGAAAAGTACCGCTGCCGCGGCTCCAAGATCCTCCCTCTCTCTACTTTCCTCTCTTTCCGTTCCTCTCTTTCCCATAACCCCCTCGTTCCATCCCTTCCCATCTGTCCCATCCTTGCCCATCTCATTGCAGCGCACGCGTCGCCCCACGTACCTGGACATGAGTGCAGAGGTCAAGTTCTCCGACGTGGCAGGTCTGGGTGAGATCAGGCGAGAGCTGGAGGAAGTGGTCGACTTCTTCCAGTCCGCTGAGAAGTACCGCCGCCGCGGCTCCAAGATCCCCTCGGGCATCCTGCTGTGCGGCGAGCCGGGCAGCGGGAAAACTCTGCTCGCGAAAGCAGTCGCAGGAGAAGCAGGAGTGAGCTTCTTCTCGGTGTCGGCGAGTCAGTTCGTGGAGATCTTCGTGGGCGTGGGGGCCAGCCGCGTGCGCGCGCTGTACAACGAGGCCAGGGAGAACGCCCCCTCGGTGGTGTTCATCGATGAGCTGGACGCGGTGGGGAGACAGAGAGGGCTTACAGAAGGATCTGGTGGACAGGAGAGGGACGCTACTCTGAACCAGGTACGTGGGGCGTGGGCCTGTGAGTGTGTGTGCTGGGATGAGCTTCGTGGGCCAGTCACGGAGGGGTCTGGTGGACAGGAGAGGGGTGCATGTGAACGTGGGCATGGAGGGGAGGAGGGTGAGATGTTTGATCAAGCAGTTCCTGCCGTGCCGCATATTGCTCAAGCAGAGCCCGGCGGAGCTCTGTGCTTTAACCAAGGCGATTCACGTTCCGCCTACGCCCGGCATTGCATTCCCTTCTTTGCAGCATGTGATTCTTTCCCTTCTTTCGCGACTACGTGATTTCTCCCATGTAGTCGCCTCTCCTTCTCTTTCCATTCTTCAGCTGCGGTTGTCATTGCCCATTTGAATCGCCGCCTCTCATTACTACTCCCACACACACATCGACTCTTTGCAAAATGCGTGTCTTGTCTCCCTCCCACCCCAACAGCTGCTGACGTGTCTGGATGGCTTCGAGGGCAGAGGTGACGTCATCACCATAGCAGCCACCAACCGGCCGGATATTTTGGACGCTGCCCTGGTGCGGCCGGGCAGGTTCGACCGAAAGATTTACATCCCCAAGCCAAGTCTCAAGGGGCGAGCTCAGATTCTTGAGGTGAGGGGCCTTGTGGTTTGCTGAGTCCTGACCACCTCGGATGAGATGTCTGCTATTGTTGGTTAGTAGGTGGTGGGATGTTTGAGAGGACCAAGGTAGGTAGCATGGAAGGTGTGTTTGCGTTCAACTCAGAATCGGCTTTCTAAGGTGGGCCATGTGCATAATGAATAATGCCACCAACTCCCTCTGAAATCGCTCCTTTCCCTCACGCTCATAGCCTCAGCAACAATCACAATTTCTAAAATCGTACACCCCTCTCTCTCTCCGTCCCCCTCACAGGTGTGCAGTCGCAGCGAGGTGTTGGATGATGACTTGGTGTCATCTCAAAAGTCACTGCCTTCCAATATCACACTCCTTATAATCACACACCCCTCTCTCTCCATCCTTCCACGCAGGTGCACAGCCGCAACAAGGTGCTGGACGATGACGTGGACTTTGAGGCGGTGGCGCAGGTGACAGATGGCATGTCGGGCGCTGAGCTGGCCAACGTTGTTGACGTGGCGGCGCTCAGAGTGCTGCGAGAGAACCGATCCGAGGTGAGCGGTGATGTGCAATGCTCGTCTATGGTGATGGATGGTGATGTGCGGTGGGTGGTGATGTGCGGTGATGTGCGGTGATGTGTGATGCATCAAAACAGCTGCTGCACAGTCATTCGTGGTGTGGGATATATGAGGTGCATCATCTTGACATGCAAGGCGCGAGGTGCATCATCTTGACATGCAAGGCGCGAGATGCATGTTCACGCAGGACCCATCCGTGGGCACATCCCCCCTCTCACGTACCCTCCACCCATCCCCAGCCCCTTCCCTCTCCCCCTCATCCATTTCCCCCAAACCTTTCCCCTTCCCTCCCCTGTTCCCATCAGATCACCACAGACGCCATGCTGCAGGGACCATGCTGGAGGAGGGGGGGTACTCCTCCCCCTTCACATACCCTCCAAACGCCTCCACTCAACCTTGGCCCTCCCCCTCCTCTCCTTCTTCCCCCTCCCCGTCCCCTTCCCTCCCCTGTTCCCATCAGATCACCACAGTCGCCATGCTGCAGGCGGCCATGCTGAAGGAACGCGGGGTACCCCTCGCCCCACGGATTTCCTTCACCCCATTCCCTGTCTTCTCCCACTTCCTTCAACCCCCCTCCCCTTACCATTTCCCCCCTCTCTCCCATCAGATCACGACGGACGCCATGCTGCAGGCGGCCATGCTGGAGGAATGGGGGGCACCCACATGCTGCCCACTTCCCTCCATCCATCCCCTTCCCCTGCCCTCTCTCCCGCTCCCCCGCATCCCGCCCCCTTCCCTCCCATCAAATCACGACAGACGACATGCTGCAGGCCGCCATGCTGGAGGAGGGGGGGTACCCCTTCCCTCTTAACTACCCATCCACGGCCCCCCCTGCCCTTCCCCCTTCTCCCCCATCCTCTCCCCCTTCCCACCCATCAGATCACAACAGACGACATGCTACAGGCCGCCATGCTGGAGGAGGGGGGGTACCCCTCCCCCCACGAGGGCAGTCCAACCAGGCAGCGCCAGCTGGCACTCAACGAGGCGGCGCTGGCCGTGGTGGCGTTCAACTTCCGCGACTTCCAGAACATTCAGCTGGTGGGTTGGTGAATGTTCAGCTGGTTGGTGAGTTGGTGAAGCTGAATGGTCAGTGAATATTCACCAACCCACCAGCTGAATGGTCAGTGAATATTCACCAACCCACCAGCTGAATGGTCAGTGAATATTCACCAACCCACCAGCTGAATGGTCAGTGAATATTCACCAACCCACCAGCTGAATGGTCAGTGAATATTCACCAACCCACCAGCTGAATGGTCAGTGAATATTCACCAACCCACCAGCTGAATGGTCAGTGAATATTCACCAACCCACCAGCTGAATGGTCAGTGAATATTCGCCAACCCACCAGCTGAATGGTCAGTGAATATTCACCAACCCACCAGCTGAATGGTCAGTGAACCATTCAGCTGGTGGGTTGCAGGTGGGAGATGATCAGTGAACATTTTTAAGTGGGCTAATATTCAGCAACTGCTGTGGGTGTTGGAGTCAATTCTCAGTGAGCATTCAGCAGGTGGGCGTGTAGTAACCCTAAACCCTCATCCCCTTTCTCTCCTCCCCACTCATCCAGATCACAGTGGTGCCGCGAATGACGGAGGAGAAGGGTTCAGTGCGGTACAAGCTGGCGGACACGCAGAAGATGAAGGCCAACTTCATCTCCGCCTCGTGCCTGCGGGACTTCATCACGGTGCAGCTGGCGCCCATGGTGGCCGATGAGATGTGGAACGGCGCAGAGGAGGTGAGTGGGTTGAATACATGTAACAGTGGAGTCTGAATAGAGCACAGCATCAGTGCAACAGTGCATATGAGTGAGGGACTTCATCACGGTGCAGCTGGCTCCCATGGTGGCCGATGAGATGTGGAACGGGGCTAGGAGGTGAGATGGTGACCATGTGTAACAGTGGGGTAGTATGAACATAGCACCTATGGGACTTCATCACGGTGCAGCTGGCGCCCATGGTGGCCGATGAGATGTGGAACGGCGCAGAGGAGGTGAGTGGGTTGAATACATGTAACAGTGGAGTCTGAATAGAGCACAGCATCATTGCAACAGTGCATATGAGTGAGGGACTTCATCACGGTGTAGCTGGCTCCCTTGGTGGCCGATGAGATGTGGAACGGCGCAGAGGAGGTGAGATGGTGACCATGTGTAACAGTGGGGTAGTATGAACATAGCACCTATGGGACTTCATCACGGTGCAGCTGGCGCCCATGGTGGCCGATGAGATGTGGAACGGCGCAGAAGAAGTGAGTGGCATGGGATGTGTGTGTACCATTAAAAAAATACATGCTGAACACAGCATAGCAGGCATCCCTGCGGGACTTCATCACGGTGCAGCTGGCGCCCATGGTGGCCGATGAGATGTGGAACGGGGCAGAGGAGGTGAGTTGGATGTTGGATACTGGTGCACATTTCTTTCACAAATACATCTCATGACGCTGCCTTGCTTGTCAACCAACTCATATCTCACCTGTATCCCCCCTGTATCCTCCAACCAATCCCCATCTGCCAGACATGCACCATCTGGGCAGACCACGCTGACGTGGCACGCCGCACGGCGCGCCAGGTGGCTCTCAACGGTTTGTCAGCTCCAAGTGAGGAGGGTGCGCTGTACGGCATCGGCGTGGCGGCGGTGGATGCACCGTGGCGCCGCGAGGCCGTTGATGCCGATGCTTCGCGCATTCTCGAAGAGTGCCGCACGAGAGCTGCTCAGGTGGGTGCAGCTGGTGTGGTTGGTGTTGCTTAACGGGCACGGCAGACCCGGCTGTTCGTGGCGCTACGAGGCCCTTGATGCCGATGCTTCCTGCATTCTCTAGGAGTGCCGCAGCAGGGCAGCTCAGGTGGGTATGGGAAGGTGCAGCTTGGGTGGGTGCGGTGAGTGGTGTGGTTAACGGGTGTGGTGAGTGGTGTGGTTAATGGGTGCTTCTCGGGCGCGTGCAACACCCATCATCACTGATCGGCCAAGGCAGACCCCGCTGTCCGTGGCGCCGCGAAACCGTTGATGCCTCGCGCATTCTTGAAGAGTGTCGCTCCAGGGCTGCTCAGGTGGGTGCGGTGAGTGGTGTGGTGGTTGGCGGTGCGTTAAGCAGGTGTGAAGCAGGTGTGAAGCAGGTGTGAAGCAGGTGTGGTGCACGAAGCAGGTGCACGAAATGCCCCTGAGCACGGTTCTGTCTTGCTGAACCTGGCACGCTCGACTTGATGCACATTCAGCTGCCTCATACAACAAGATGCTGCATGTGCTGCTTCTTCTCCATGCCCGTGCCTCATCCCTCCCTCCCTCCATCCCACTCCCCTTCTCCTGTCTCTTGCCTCTTTCCCTCCCCACCCCGGCCCTCCCCTCTTCTCTCCACCCAACTCAGATTCTGCGGCGCAACGGCAGCCTGGTGGGCGCACTAGTGGGCAAGCTCCTAGTGGGCAAGCTCCTAGTGGGCAAGCTCCTAGTGGGCAAGCTCCTAGTGGGCAAGCTCCTAGTGGGCAAGCTCCTAGTGGGCAAGCTCCTAGTGGGCAAGCTCCTAGTGGGCAAGCTCCTAGTGGGCAAGCTCCTAGTGGGCAAGCTCCTAGTGGGCAAGCTCCTAGTGGGCAAGCTCCTAGTGGGCAAGCTCCTAGTGGGCAAGCTCCTAGTGGGCAAGCTCCTAGTGGGCAAGCTCCTAGTGGGCAAGCTCCTAGTGGGCAAGCTCCTAGTGGGCAAGCTCCTAGTGGGCAAGCTCCTAGTGGGCAAGCTCCTAGTGGGCAAGCTCCTAGTGGGCAAGCTCCTATACCCTCTTCTGTCCCTTACATCCCCCTCCCTCCTCCCTCCCCTCCCCCTTTCCAACCCACTCCCCTCAGATCCTGCGGCGCAACTGCAGTCTGGCGGATGCACTAGTGGACCAGCTGGTGGAGGTGAAGGCGATGGGCGGCGAGGAGTCTGCCAGCCGGCCGCACACCCTCACTATTCCATTCCCACGCCTCCCCGATTCCCCATTCCGCACCTCCTCAACTCAGATCTTGAGGCGCAACCGCAGCCTGGTGGATGCACTAGTGGACAAGCTAGTGGAGGTGAAGGCGATGGGCGGCGAGGAGTTTGCCAGTCTGGCGCGGCAGTACGGGTCGTTTGACACGCCGCCGCCCTCCCCGGTGGAGATGCGGGACCGCCAGCTGGCACGGTTCCGAGAGGCCATGATGGCTGGGGAGAAGGAGCGGGCGGAACAAGTGCTTCTTGCTGACCCTGTTGCCGTGGAATGATGTGGCAGCTGACTGAAATCCTGTTGATGTGGTGGAGGGATGGCTGCTGAAGTGATGTGGCTGTAACGAACATGATGAGCAATCATGGCCTTTCGGAATCCCAGCAGGAAACTGGAGAGTGGCTTGCAGTGAGCTTCCTGCAGGCTGACCCTGTGGCCATGGAGTGGTGGTGGTGCAGCTGCTAGTGACGATGTTGCGGTCAAGTGAAGTGGCTATCAGTGGACTGGAGAGGAGAAACATGCATTACTGGCTGTGTACTGGCAGAGAACTTTCATAAATGAATCTTACACTGCTACACAAATTGATACCCTATACGGTACTGTAGAACCCCCCAGAATTTAGCGCTTTTACCACTACCTCCTTTTTTTTCCACCCAGGTGCGTAATCCACGTGGGCAAAAACAGTTTTCTGATTACATGTTCCCGGGGCTACAAGCAAATCATTTGAATACGCCTCTCACCCCCACCTTTCCCCCTGCCCGCCCCCTTCCCCTAGGGACGTTTATCTGGAAGAGTATGGTAGGTACCTGGGGCAGCGGTATACAGTAATAGGGAGCCACATTAGGAGTCCCTTTTCTACTTTCAGGAAATATGCGTCTTCATCATGCAGACTGTACCCCTTCAACAACTGCTTGTTCACGCTATGCATCTTCTCCCTCACAGTCTTGGACCGTTTCCTTGTTTCGCTTCCACCTTTCTTGCTCCTCACATGCACCAACGGAACATCTCTCAACCTCGCCCCTTTCCTCTCCCAGTACAACGTTTGCTTGATGATGCAATATAAAGCCAACGACGGGTATTGGTGTTTCAGGGTTGCCAAGCTCCGTGCATCAGACATCTCACTTGGAAAGAAGAGGCTTGCAAGTTTGGGGCCTTGATGGAAGGAGGCGTCACCACTTAGTCTGGGTCAGGACAATCAGCACTTGCAGACCCATCAAAATATTCTTGGCCATTCAGCTCGTTCATACAATTCACGTCCTCCACAGAAGTTTCCCATTCAGTATCAATCTCCCAATAACCATCATTCAGTATCAATCTCCCAATAACCATCATTCAGTATCAATCTCCCAATAACCATCATTCAGTATCAATCTCCCAATAACCATCATTCAGTATCAATCTCCCAATAACCATCATTCAGTATCAATCTCCCAATAACCATCATTCAGTATCAATCTCCCAATAACCATCATTCAGTATCATTCTCCCAATAACCATCATTCAGTATCAATCTCCCAATAACCATCATTCAGTATCAATCTCCCAATAACCATCATTCAGTATCAATCTCCAAATAGCCATCATTCAGTATCAATCTCCCAATAACCATCATTCAGTATCAATCTCCCAATAACCATCATTCAGTTACGGAGCGTCGTGAGCCTGAGTCGCGTCCTGTGTCGCCTGCGTCTCGTTCTGCGTCGCCTGTCCGCACTGTTCGCGCTGGTCGTGTTTCGCGTCCACGTCTTCCTCCTGTCCCAGGCACTCACTCTATGACACTGCGTCCTTCTACTGCTTCACAGCGTGTCCCTCTGCCCTCTCCTCCTGCGTCCTCTCTTCCTGACGGTCCGGACCCGGAGTCTGACTCCCTTCGTGCTGCTAGTCCTACTGTTACGCGCTTTCTGGCCACTGCTGTCACTGACCCTCTGTTTGAGTCCTCTGCTGCGTCTGCTCTTGTTGCTGAGCTTGTTGACTTTGCTGCAGCCTGTCGCCTAGATTACGCCACTAGTCTTGTTGCTGCGTCTGCGTCTGTCTGTCCTCCGTCCGTCGGGGGTGAGTGTGCTCTTGGCACAGACGTCCTTGAGGACAGGCAGGAGGACCTTGAGTGCTTTGCCGCTGCTTCACCTCATCTCGTGTCCATGCTGCTTGCCCCTGAGGGAGACCCGGATGCACTAGACATCCCGACCCCGCGCTCTTACGCAGAGGCGATAGAGGGTCCCTACTCCTCTCAGTGGCAGGCAGCCATGGACGCAGAGATGGCTTCCTGGAAGTCCACAGGCACCTACGTAGACGAGGTTCCCCCACCTGGGGCGAACATCGTCAGTGGCATGTGGATCTTCAGGGTGAAGCGGCGGCCGGGTTCTCCGCCTGCCTTCAAGGCGCGTTACGTTGCACGTGGCTTCAGTCAGCGACAGGGAGTTGACTTCTTTCAGACCTTCTCCCCTACCCCGAAGATGACCACTCTTCGGGTACTGCTGCACGTTGCTGCTCAGCGTGACTACGAGCTCCACTCGCTTGACTTCAGCACAGCCTTCCTACAGGGCAGCCTGCACGAGGAGATCTGGCTGCGCCGCCCACCTGGCTTCACTGGGTCGTTTCCTGCTGGTACCTAGTGGAGCCTCCGGCGGCCAGTCTACGGTCTCCGCCAGGCGCCCCGTGAGTGGCACGACACGCTCAGGACGACTCTTGCTGCTCTTGGTTTTGCTCCTTCCACTGCTGACCCTTCTCTGTTTCTACGCACTGACGCTACTCTGCTGCCGTTCTACGTTCTTGTGTACGTAGACGACCTTGTCTTTGCTACTGCTGACACGGAGGCACTCGCCCACGTGAAGTCCGAGCTGCAGAAGAGACACACGTGCACAGACCTGGGTGAGCTCACAAGCTATCTTGGCTTGCGGATCACCCGGGACAGAGCACAGCGCACCATTACCTTGACTCAGTCACACATGGTGCAGCAGGTCCTTCAGCGCTTCGGCTTCACCTACTCCTCGCCACAGTCCACTCCTCTGCCTACCGGTCACTCGCTCTCAGCTCCACCTTTGGACGAGTCCGTAGAGCCGAGTGGCCCGTATCCAGAGCTTGTGGGCTGCCTCATGTACCTGATGACTTGCACACGACCTGACCTCGCATACCCTCTCAGCCTTCTGGCTCGCTACGTGGCTCCCGGCAGGCACCGAAAGGTGCACTGGGATGCTGCGAAGAGGGTGTTGCGATACTTGTGCAGTACATCGGGCATGGGGCTCGTGCTTGGAGGACGGGCTCGAGTTGTCCTCACTGGTCACGCTGACGCCTCCTGGGTTGACGACTTGGCTACGCAGCGGTCGTCACAGGGTTACACCTTCAGCCTTGGCTCCGGTTCTGTCTCCTGGCGGTCTACCCGCTCTTCTTCTGTTCTCAGCTCCAGTTGTGAGGCTGAGATCTACGCTGGGGCCATGGCTGCACAGGAGCTTCGCTGGCTCACCTACCTGCTGACCGACTTGGGAGAGGCGCCTCGTTCTCCTCCAGTTCTGTACGTCGACAACAAGGCCATGCTGGCCTTGTGTCAAGAGCACAGACTGGAGCACAGAACGAAGCACATTGCTATGCGCTACTTCCTTGCTCGAGAGTTGCAGCAGCGTGGCCAGCTTCGTCTTGCTTACGTGGCCTCTCAGGCCAACACTGCTGATGTTTTCACCAAGGCACTTCAGCCTTGTGATCATCAGCGTTTGTGTACTGTGTTAGGCCTTGTACCTACTGTGCCTCACTTGTTGACTTCTTGACTCTGCTTGTACTGTACTCTATATACTTATACCTGCATGCTTACACTTGCTAGGTTGTGTTCACTGTACTGTTTGCTTTCCTTTATATAACTCTGCATGTGAACTGGCCTTATGGCCCTTTGCTTGTGCTCAGACTGTGTGGTGACTTTGTGATCCACCCTGAGCTTGCTTTGCTTTTCTTGACTGGTCTTGTGACCTCTTGTTCTCCCCCACTTTGCCTATGGGGGTGTGTCAAACTTATATCTGCTATGGTCTATTTAGGCTGTAGTGGGTAGGGTACAACACTTATGTGTTTTCTATTTGTACCCATCTCATTTCCTAGTTTATTCATTCTTTTGTCAATCCTTCTTACATGACTGTCAACGGCATCTTGGGTGAACACGTTGCATAATTCAACGTGGGATGGGGGCGTGGGTGGTGCAGTATCGTCGATGCACCTAGGCGTGGACGGTGGGATATCGATATGCATGGGTAGAACAAGGGTCAAATGTAAAATTACAGCCGTATACGTGGTCATATTTCAACGTCATCTGGCGCGTACACGTAAGGGGTCAGCCAGATGCAGACTGGAATTTCAACGAATAAGGCGCAAGCGTGTGTCACACATGGTGCAGCGACATTGGGTACGACTCTAAAAATGAAGGGCGCGGATACAATGTTGTGTTGATCCTCGTCCTTCACGTGCAGGCAGGTGATTGGGAGGGGCGATGCCCTGGAGCGCACAGTACTATAGACTGTTGAAACTTGATGGTCGACATGATGACGTAATGCTCGCCAGATGTCGGGTCGACGTAAAAAGCTGACAAATTGTGACATTTGGCGGATCACAAATTGGCATCCAGCGGGGTTACGAACGCGTGACGTGCACATGACATAGCCCTAACATTTGCGTCACTTTGAAAGTGACGTCATTGTGATTTCAATGTGACCGTTACGTCACTTTGTATGTGACAAGAACCCCGGTAATTCCAACCATCACATTTTTATCCCAGAATTCCGTATACTTCAAAATGACGGAAAAGTCACAATTACGTCACTTTCGGCACTTGTCTTTTCCGAGATGTACGTAACAATGTACTCACAGGCCAGAGGAGAATAGAACTTAGCTGCTATCTATCTGCGGACACATGATCCGTTTCTCCAAACGGGGGGGCAGCGGAACGGTTGATTTAAGACCGGAAAATTATCAGCTTATTCTAATGGCAGAGTCTCAGAACGTAAGACCAAGGTTGTTGCGCCATGAAAGCCTAGTCAGGGAATATATACAACTCGAGGGTTCACCATGCCACTACTGAAGGGTTGGTTTCAGGAATCAGGGCGGAAAGGTGGCGAGAAGATGGGAATGCGGCGAGGCAGGGGAGGGGGAAGTAAGGAGCCGTTGGTGACTGCCGAACCAACATGTCGTGCTTCGGCAAGCAGGGTTATGGCGGGTCATGAGAATCAGTCGTAGGTTTGGAAGAAGTCAGTTGAGTGTTGAGTTGGGCAACCAATGCTTCGCTGGCTACAGCGACACGTCAGCTCGTGGGGAGACAAGAGAAGGGGGGTTTAGTGGCGGGTCAATACACTCCGCGAGTTCAGCCAGGTCAAGAGAGTCGCATCCTCGATAGTAGCACAATCCGCGATGAGGAATTGTCTTAGGGTTAAAATATTTGTGGCTTGGGACCATATCAACCCGTCATATCGCTAATGAACTTGGCTGTATTGCAGAAAATTTTTGGGACAAGTTCACATGGAATGGAACACCCTCACACACATGCAACCCTAATTCACACTGTTATGTTACAAAATGCTTTCCTTGCCATCAAATACACAAAACAGGCACACATCCCTTCCTGTTTTAGAAAAACACCTCGCCGCCCCCCTCTGTCTTCTCCGCCACTCCACCCCCACCAGAAGGAGAAGCAGCAGAATCACCTACCGCCACTCCACCAGCACGCATCTCATCAGCCACCCTCCCCTCCACTGCCTCTGCTCCAGTTTCTGCTCCAACCCCACCCCCACCTTCCACCACACCCCCCTCTCCTCCAATGGAGCTACCCCCATCCTTCACTTCTCCAGACTTTACTGTGTTTCTCTCCTCCTCCTGTGTTCCCCTGTCCTCTCCCTCCCCACCACTCGCCCTACCCTCTCCATCTCCTTCCAAAGAGCGGCGTCTCCCTCTCTCCAATGCCTCCCCTTCCTCTTCCTCCTCTTCCTCCTCTTCCTCCTCCCCACTCTCATACCCTTCATCCTCACCCTCCTCTATCGTCCCTACATTCCCCCCCTCTCCACTCCCACCACCAAACCCCTCTCCTCCACACCCCCTCACCCACTCAGCAACCCCCCCTGTCCCTTCCCCACTCTCCCCAGCACCCTCCCCCCCACTCCCCCCCCTCCCATTCCCCCTCCCCCTCCCCCATCTGTGCTTCTTCTTCCCCTGAGCACCCTTCACCTCATCCCGCATGGCTGCCAGCCTGGCAAGGGCGGCATCCACGTCATCAACAGCAGATAGGCCGTCAAACAGCAGCGAATCATCTGCCATCACCGCCTCCTGCTGCAGCAGCCGCTGCAAGGAACGCTTTGCCGCCCGGCACTGGGCGGCAAGCTTCGTCCTGTTGGCGAAAGAGCAGGGGAGAGTGGAGGAGGCAGGGAGATGAGAGGGATGGAGGAAGGTGAGAGGCAACCATGAAGCATGGGAGAGAGAGAGGTAAGGAGGAAGGTGAGGGAAAGAGAGATGGAGGGAGGGAGGGAAGCGAGGGGAAGAGGGAGCAACATAAAAAGCAGCGTTAAGAGGTCTAGACCAGCAGAAGCATGGGGGCTGTGGTACAGGAGGGAGAAAGACATCTGACAGCATTGCATCTGCAGCAACAGCAGCAGCAACCGCTGCCTTAGCGCCCCGCATTGGGTTGTGAGGGATATCGCCAAAAGGTTTTTTCAGGCGCCCCAGAAGAAAGAATTATGGTTTTACTCAGGGCCTCATGTTCTGACACCCGGCTGTCACAGATACCCGAGTCTCTTTTGTCGTGAAAAAAAAAATGAGGAGCAAAAAAACTCCTTTCATATTCTGAGCCAAGGTCGTTCCAGCGCCAGGCCAACAGAAACAAGGGAAAAGGAAAAGGAAAAAGAAAAGAAAAATATAAAGAAAACAAAAAAAAACAACAACCAAACTTCACCCCACTACACGTTCTCTCGCTACTCCTTATCCCCCACCCTATCTCCATCTCTCCCCCAAAACCCTCTTTCCCTGACAACTCCCTCCCAGGGACTTTTTAATCTACAAATGACAGGCACAACAGTCATCTTTCCAACCACCCCGCCACATCACTCACCCTAAAAGCCTCAGTTTCAGCTGCTGATGTAAAAAAAGTAGTGAGCAGGTCTGCAGTGTTTCTAGTCATAGTAACAATTTCCCTTGAAGACCTCTCAAGCCACGACTCACCTTGAGAGCTTCAATTGCAGGCGCTGACGTGAGCATGGTAGTGAGCAGGTCTGCAGCGTTTCTTGCCATTGCAAAGGTTGTCTTGGGATCCGCCTCTGCCTCTCCCGCACCCATCCACGCTGCCTCCTCCGCCTCCTCCCGCTGCCGCTGATGGTGATTGTGATGATGATGACGATGCTGCTGCCTGTGTGTGTGGTCATTTCCCCCTCCAACTGCAGCACCAACAGCACCACCAGCAGCACCAGCAGTGCCGCCGCCGCCGCCTCCAGGCATGACGAACCTCACGTGCGGTGTGGTCCGCCGACCCTGGACGTTAGGTCCGACGAGGAAGTCCGCAGCCATGGCAACAACCTCCCGGTGCTGGTTTGGCAGCTCAGAAGGAGGTCTGGTGATGTGAATACGCCTAGCCCCTCTATAAGCGTCTCCGATAACGGACTCAAAGGGGAGGAGCCGGGGGTTGCCCTGAGGGGGTGCAGCAACCACAGGGAATGTCACCCCTTTCTCCTTGAGCTCCTGATAATGGTGATGAAAAAGGGGGGAGAGAAAAGGTGTGTTTTAAGTCGAATCACAACACACGTGCGCTGAGGGTGTGTAGCAACCACAGGGAGTGTCACCCCTTTCTCCTTGAGCTCCTGGTGATGATGATGATATAATAAAACCAGGGGGGCAGAAGGGAGGAGGGAAACATCTTAAGTCGACTCAAAAGGAATGGGGGGTATCCTGAGGGGGAGTAGTGACCATTGGGAAAATCACAACTTTCTCCTTGAGCTCCTGATGATGATGGTGATGAAAAAAAGGGGGTGGGGGAAGGGAGGCGGGGTGAAGGAGAAGGGGGGCGGGTGAATGGAGGAGGCAAATATGGCCCTTTTCTCCTTGATTTATAGCCTGCGGGGAGGGAGAGGAGAAGGGGGAGCGAGAGGGGAAGAAAGACAGGTCAATATTTTTCCTTGGATTGCAGTTGCTGGTAATAATGTGGAAGTTTGAAAGGGAGAAAATAAAGGGTGATAAAAGGAAGGAGGAATGAGGACGGTGATAGCAGAATGATTTGCATCTATGGCATGACAGCACGTGATTCATGGGAGCACGGATGGTGGTGGCAGCATGAATGGCGATGGTAGCACGGATGGTCATGGTAGCATGGATGGTCATGGCAGCATGGATGGTCATGGCAGCATGGATGGTCATCATAGCGCGGATGGGTCACCATAGCACGGATGGTCATGGCAGCATGGATGGTCATGGCAGCATGGGTGGCAGCATGGTCGGCAGCATGGTCGGCATTCTACACAGAGGGGAGTGAGGATCAGGTGCACTTGAAGAAGGCCAGGAACAATCGCCACCCGCAAGACTGGCATTCAATGCTGGTGTTACAAAGTGTAAATAAAGAGAAATATGTACACATGACAAATCACAAGGAACCAATAGACAGACCTTCAGCACCTAATGCCAAAGAAGGCTCTAGATCATGCGCACTTGCACCAGCCTCGTTTCAGGGTAACCCCAAAAGGGTGTGACGGCACATCAGACACTTAATGGCGTTTCCTTCCTCAGGGAATCCAGCGCTCGGGTGTAGTACCCATTCCACTGAATCCATGACCCCTTAATCCTCAAAACAACAAACAACGGTTTTCATGGCTTAAGTTTCCTTCCTATCTTCTCCTTTGCTCAAGACCATTTCCCAAAGGGGTTAATGGCACATTAAGCAGCAGCTGCAAGGGCGAGCTAAGTTATGGAGTCAACTCAGCGCAGTGGGGTTAGCAGCAGCACATCAACGCTGCGAGAGCATCGCATTGCTGCAAGGAGAACGACAAGAAAGGCACAAATGGGCATTGTTTGCATGGTGCTTGAGTGAAACGACGTCTCTATCCAATTTCATCTAGTTTCTGAATGTCACTGATTCATTAATTGTCTCACGAATTGTTTTCATGGCGCTTAGGTAAGTTGGTGTCCCTGATCCAATTTCATCTAGTTGTTTCACCACATTTCCCCCACACTTCGTTTACCATAAACATCACCCTGGTTGTGAATATTCCAGCCCCACCCCTCTTCCCCCTACTTTTTCCCTCCCGCGCTCACGTAAATCCTTTCCGATGTAAATGTTGCCGTTATTCCCCCTTCCCCTCTCTTCCCCACCAACCCCCCCCCTCTCCCCCCCCATGTCTTCCCCTCCTCCCCCACACCACCCGCCACTCACCCTAAACGTCTCTTCGAACGCGGGGAAGTATCGCGTCGCCTCCATGGGCGCAGCCCACGCTTCGATCAGTCTTAGAACATTCTCCCTGACGCGCGCCTGCGTCTTAGGCTCCACCGCCAGTCGCGCCATGTCTCCTAACACGCCTTCCCGCGCAATGTCCCCCAGAACCTGCGGCGCGCTTCCGACTACCGACTCCGCGACCGCCAGAGCGAGGAGCTGCACGTGCGAATCCCGCGTCGCCAGGCGACGTCGCAGGGCCCGTGCGACGTCGCCGCCGGGAACATGGCCGTTCTGAAGGAGGTGGGAGATTTGCAGGACGGTGGACCAATGGGGAGCGAGCAGCTCCTCCGCCGTGGCGCGGTCTACTAATATATCCGCCTGCGTGGTCGGCAGAACTAGGTCTTTAACGCGCTCGCCGACAACGGAAACCTGTTCCTCCAATCGGCTTCCGACAGCTGTCGCGGCCTCCGTGAAGCGCTTCCCCAGCTCCGCGCTCGACGCGCGCACGCGCTGCCCGACAGCCGCGAGCTTTCCGCGCCAATCGCCGCCAAATGCGGCGGCGGAGTCCCCGGGACGACTGTACACCGCCGCGGCTCGTGAGGAATCTGGATCGGACAGTGATAAGCTCTGCTGACGAACCTGCAGCTCTTGCTGCTGTTGCTGCTCGTGTTCTTCGTCACCGCTCGTCTGGTGTGCGCCTAACAGCGGCACTTCATAATCCATCTCAGCTGACTGAATGCTTCAATCCAGAAAGGCGAGAGAACGAGTGAGGAGAACAAGTAAAAAACCCTTATAGGCGAGTCGGGTAACTTTGCAGTTGAAACAGTCGTAAGGAGATTTGAATGATGGATTCGAACGAGTGAGTGCGACTATTTTATGTACGGAGAGTGTGCGTGCGTGGAAGGCCGTGGGGCACACGGCATGGATTAGAGAGTGAAGGGACAAGAAAGGAGAGGAAGGGAAAGGGGGCGGCAGGGGGGAAGTGAGCGAGTGAGCGATCAGGGCGACTACCAAGCCACCAACCAACCGACACCTCCAAGGGTTGTGCGAAAGAGCGACGTTGCTGAATCTTCGCTTCCGTCTGCTGCTGACTTGTCGGGGGGTCGTTTCGCTTGCGACTGTTGGGACCTTCGTTGGGCAAGCCCAAGGAGAACTCAGAAGTGTACTGTGGTGAAAAAAAACGCGGAAGGTGTTTACCGCATTCATGAACGTAAGTAACCGTACTGTACCTTTCTGTGGATTGAATGGTTCCTTCACACTCGTGAAGTTGGAAAGTGAGGGTGGACTTGCTGGGCTTGACGAGGTTGAACGAGCTCGTCTTGACGACCGAGAACCGCAGTGTCGTTTGGAACTCGCCTATCAAGTTTCGGTCTTGACTCGAGCGTGTCGAATTGAACTCCATCACGAGGGTTGAGTCCCTCGATGACCCCTGGTTCCCTGGCGGTGAGTCAACCCCTGGCTTCGGCAACTCACTGTACAAGAACAGCATTGCTTGTACGATGTTGACGGGATCTATAAAAACTCAATTGCTAACAAGTTTGTATCATATCATGCAAGAAAAATCAGTAGTGCTAGATTCATCCTGTAGATGCCAAGTAAATACAAAGATGAAGAATAAAGCAAGCATGCACACAACAGACATGCTTAGACACCGGTACCCATAAACATGTAAGTTACGGCTCTCCACAAAATTACAAATCAGTTGTCTCATGCAACAGAATCAGCCAGTGCACATGACTGAAGCAGTCACACGGAAAAATGCAATGCTGCACACTGATGGTGCGCTGTGTCTGTGGCACAAGCAAGAACACCAGTGGAGCCATAAAAATGGTAGAGTTAGCCTCCATTTTTAGTACCCTAAAATAGCAAAACTTGCAAGTGCAAAATGCAAAAGAGCAGCAATGAATCAAGAGCTGAATGGAAGGCAAGGGGAGGGGTCTAGTGCTATTGCACAGAGGTGGTGGCGGAAAGAGAGGGGGAGAGGCAAGTGCGGGAGGAGAAAGAGGGGACGGAGTGGAGGAAAGGAGTGGAGTGGAAAAGCGTGCAAAATGCAAATGCTTCGCTTCTCAGGCATCAGCTGCCGCACTGCCGCACCCAGTGGACCCCGCAAACGCACCCGCAGCAGTGAAAGCCCCGCCCCCGCCCCCAGCCCCAGCCCCAGCCCCATTAGCAGCAGCATACGCCCCAGCAGCGTAAGCCCCAGCACCAGATGCAGCACAGAAGACTCCTCCAAAGTTGGAATCAGGGAGTGAAAACATGTCATCACAGCCGGGAAGCGGCATGGGGAAATCCATGTCCTCCATGTGGAACCCCATGCCCATGCCCATCCCCATCCCCATGCCCATGCCCATGTTCATGTTCATCCCCATGCCCATCTCTGCGTCCATCAGTGTTGCCATGTCTTGACTGTGTGAATCGTCCATGCCATGTACATGGCCTTCACCCATCACATGGCCTTCACCCATCACATGGGCTTGAAGCATGTTGCTGCCATGCACGGATTGGTCCAATGGGTCATCATCCGCATCCACCAGTGTGCTCGATGCCACTGCTACGTCATGCGGACCGGAACCCACTGCTTCCACTTCCGCTGTTGCTGCTGCTTCGGCTCCTGCTGCTCCTCGCCCTGCTGCTGCTGAAGAGCCAGCAGCCGACATTCCTGCCGCATCCTCCTCTCCTCTACCCATCGGCTGCAGCTCTCCTGCACGTGCAACCCTGTCACATGCTCCCATACCTGGAGCGTCCTGGCGACCTGCCGAGTTTCCTGCAGGGCTGAACGCGCCCTCCTGGCCCGCTGCACAACTGCCAGGCGCCTCCTGGCTCCCTAGCACCGCGGAGTTCCCAAGGCCGTTTCCACCAGCCACAGGCACCGGCACCTGCGGTTCCTGTGCTCGCTCCCCCTGCACCCCACACTGTGACTGCGGCTGCGGCATCTGCTGCCGCTGACTAATCTGCTGCACCTGCTGCATCTGCTGCTGCACCTGCTCCCGCGTCAGCTGTATCCGCTGCGCTTTCAGCTCCTGCAACAGCTCTTTCTTCAGCTCTTGCTTCGTCTCGTGCTTCGTCTCCTGCTGCTGCCGACCCCACCCGGCCCCGGCTGCCACGCCTCCGCACTCCCCTGTCTGCGCCATTTCACCTGTCGACCCCACACCACCTCCTTTCGCATGCGCATTTTGATCATTCTCAAAACAGGCCATTACTCCTGTAGGCCCAGCGCTGCCTATGCCCTCTGGCCCCTCCCCGCCCACGCGGCTCCCTGCTGCCTCGCGGAGTGACTCCCGGCTGGCACACGTCAGCCCCCCGGCATGCCGCTTTCCAGAAAACTTCTCCTCAGCTACTCCAGGCGCAGCAACGCGGGACGGAGTCCCCACCTCGTACCCACTACCGCTGCCATCGCAGAGCTCGGCACCAGCAGTGCTCTGACTCCTGCCGCCAGCAGCGCTCTGACTCCTGCCGCCAGCCTCCAAGCTCGGCGTCCCCATGGGGAAATCCACCGGTTCTACGCCAAAGCTCCGCTTCATCCCGACCCTGCTTCCCCCCAATCTGCCCATCCCCCCCCCAGTGGTCACCCCCCCAGCGGTCATCCCCCCGGCGGTCATCCCCCCTATGCTGCCTTTCTGCGACGCCTCGAGAACCATCGGGGAGCCTACCCCCCCTCGGCCCACCCCGCCTGCGTTGCTCACTCCTCCTGCTTCCCCCGCTCCTCCTCCTGTCCGCCTGGACTGCGCGATCTCCTGCGCGATCCTCCGATTGGCCATTTGACTCAGGTGAAAATTCAGGTCGCGGTCCGACAGAGCAGCAACAGCAGCAGCAGAAGGAGCGCCGGTGAGGGTGGCGTTGCCGCGGGTGGGGGTTCTCGCCACACGCGGGAACACTGGGGACTGAGCGTCCGTGTGCAGCGAGTACGATCGGGTGAACTGCCTATTTAGCGATCCTGCAGGTACGGACGCAGCAGGGGCGGTTGGCGCAGAGTTGACTGGCGCCAGAGACGGGACAGAGGGAGCAGGGGAGGGGGCAGTCGCGGCAGGGAGAGGGGCAGCGGCAGCAGAGTTGGCAGGAGGGCCGGGAGTAGCAGCAGAGTGAGCGGGTATAGGAGCGGTAAGAGCGGGGGAGCTGGGAGGGACACCGGTGTTGGGAAGGAGGGTGTTGTGAGGGCTGGATCGCATGCCGTGCCCTGCCATGCCATGCCCTGCCATGCCGTGCCCTGCCATGGCGTCGTGCCACTCCATGGTTTCCCTGCTTGCTGTTGAGTTCGCCCGTTTCAGTTGCAACAGGTGCTGCTGCTGCTGCAACAGCTGGTTCTGTTGCTGCTGATGGTTCTTCTTCTGCTGCTGCTGCTGCTGCTGCTGCTGCTGCTGCTGCTGCTGCTGCTGCTGCTGCAAAAGCCGTTGATGCTGCTCGAACTGAAGCATCTGCCGCCTCTGTTGCACAAGGGAGAGCTGCTGTTCCTCTTTTAAATTCTGCTTCGCCTCAAGCTGACGCTCCTGCATCAGTTGATGTTGCTGCTGCTGTTGTTGCAGCTGTTGCTGCTGCTGTTGCTGCTGCTGTGACTGTTGCTTCTGCCGCTGCAGCAGCTGCTGCTGCACTAGAGCCTGCATATGTTGCCGCTGCAGCTGCTGCATCTGCTGATGCTGCTGCATCGGCTGTTGCTGTTGTTGTTGCTGCTGCATCTGCTGTTGCTGCTGTTGCTGCTTCTGCTTGGAAGAATCCAACGGGTACAGAGCCATGATCCTGGATATCGTCTGTAGCGAGCTGGCCGATATATCACCTCTCACGCTGCCATTACTCACACCCCCTAGGGCACCTCGCAACGAACCTGGACCCGAGCCTCGCCCCGAACCTGGCCCCGGACCTGACCCCTGTCCTGACCCCGGACCTGACCCCGGACCTGGGCCCGGACCTGACCCCCGACCTGGGCCCGGACCTAGCCTCGGGCCTGAGCCTTGGCTAAGCAGCTGCTCCGGCGACTGCGGCGCCGCCGATTGCGGCCGGAAGGGGAACGCGCCAGGTGCGGCGAGCATGGGAGAGGCAGCAATCATGGGAGAGGCAGCAGTCATGGGAGATGCTGCAGGGTACTGGCTGTTCCAAGGAGCTTCTGCTTTCATTCCCTGGAGCATATCGAGCGTAGGGGGGGAGACGGCGACGGTGGGAATGAGGGCGGGACGGAAGAGGGAACTGTAGAAAAAAAGGTGAAGGAGCGAAAGCAACAAAATGTTCCCATCGCAGCACAAGCGATTCTAGTTTTGAGACGTATCAAAAGCAAAACATGGCACATGCGAGCGTTACCGACCATTTAATCGCCTTACCGCGTCGCGATTCACCGGTCAACAGCATCCTCTTCTCACCTGCGCGTCGCCGCAATTGACGGCCAAATTTGAGCTCGGAGGCACTGCGCGCCTGTCGGCTGGTAAGCTGACGGCGGCTGACGGCGCCGTCTGGTTAACGGCTACCGGTGCTCCCCAACTTCCTGCGCTTGCCCGTCTTGCGGTACCAATCCCTGCGGTAGCTATTGGCGGGGTAACGATTTCTGAATTCGGAGATTCTCCTTTTCGAGAACCACTCTGGAGTCCGAATTTAGGAATTACCCCCGGATTAGGGGATATTCTTGAACTCGGGTCCATTAACGGATTCCCCTGACTCGTTCGTAAGCGTTGAATCGCCTCCGCGGGAATGACATCGGTTGAGAAGGGTAATAAAGGAGCTCCAGACGCGACGTTATTCGTCGACACACGAGGTAATAACACGCCCGGCTTAGGTGTTTGAGGTTCCGCCGGGTGAGTAGAGGTGTCGGGATCCTTCGCCGGGAGAAAGCCGTGAGCGGAAGTTAAGGCACCACCGCCGGCTGTGGAAGTGGAGGAGGCTGGTTGGGCTTTTTGCACTTGGAGGAGCGGCGGCGGTTGAGCCATGTCGCAACCCCATAGCTTCGCCAGGTCCGCTGCAGACGGGCAGCCCGTGAAACATTCGAACACGTGACGGCTGTGGTTCGCGCCGGACGGATTCGCGTTGTGAGACGCGAGGTCACAATCCGGGCAGAGAGAAAGGTTTTCGTCCCGGCATCGCACGGAGGCTGGCTCCGCGTTGCATCCGTCGCAAAGCAGTGTGCGATGATGGCGAAGGGAGAGATTATTCGCAGAATGAACTACTCGGTCGCATGAGAGGCAGAGCCGAGCGGAATCCGCTTTACAATAGACCGTGGCTCGGCCTTTTTCGCAAAAATCGCAAATGGTCTCCATTGCCGATAAGACGGGACCCCTCGTCGGATAAGATGCTGTATTATATTTAATATAAGCTCATGTAATCGTCGGATATCTTTTGTCGTCCGCGTAAAAAAACACACAATTTCCTCACAAAAAGCGGCTCGAAGTGAGCGTTATTATAAAAGCAAAAGCTAACGCTAGACTCCAGCCGAAACCTATGGATGACGGTGGTCGTCACACGGAGTGTAAACGCGCCATTGCAAATGTCAGTAGATCTAACCCTAGGGTTGAAGAGCTCAGTTGTGCTTTGTTTACAGCTCACACTTTTGCAGGGAGACTGAGGAAGATTTTCAGGTGAGGGAGGGAGAGAGTGGGGAAGGGAGAAATCAAGGGGGGAGTAGAGGGAAGGGAGGGAGGAGGGGGGAAGTAAGGACCCATGATCCGTGATCTATCCATTATCTGTCGGGTCGGTCGGGTTGGGCAGGACTCCTGGGGAAGCTGAAAAGGGAGCACAGACAGGTGGGATCATGGCATCCCCTGACGTGGCACGGATGCAGCACACGCATCGTGTATGGTCAGACTGGCTACGATAAGTTCCATCGCCGCTGCTGATAGGGGGTTCAAAAGTTTTCAACTGTACAGCATAGAAACTGGCGGCGACGCCCGCAAGACTGACCGCGCAGGACAGCCAGAAAAAACGTATGCGCTGCGCTGGTTCAGTTTCCCACATCTGAACCAGAAGCCGTCGGTTCGGCATGGATGAGGTTAGCGGGGAGGGGGGAAAAGTGGGCGAGGGAATCATTTGTTCCTCATTCCCCCCTGCCTGCGTTCCTTTCTGGAATCCTACTGCCTCGAGCCACCACAGGCTACACTCTGTTCCCCCCACCCCACCAACACAAACCACCCAACTAAAGCCATACCATCCATGGGCTGCCCCTCAAGACAATGGATGGCCATCCGCCAACGTCATGGAGCACAACAAAGGTGTGAAGTGTTGGGCAGTGAAGGGAACAAGCGCCAGTACAGTTGGGGACAGACGGAAGGAGTTGTCTCAAATTCATCCAGATCCATCAATGAAAGGTATCCAAACATTTTTCCTGTCTGCCCCTAATGATGACCTCCGCATCTACCGCTGACGCGCTGGCAGTAGAACTCCTTTATTCACCCCAAACAGCCATGTGTTGTCCTCAAACCTTGTCGGATTGGCTAAGCCCGGATGGCGTTCAACAAATTCCCTTACCTAACCATGTGGTTAGGCAGGTGGTTCATTCAATTTAAGAGTGATCATGTCAGCGATGGCAAACTCCATGGGCAATTTGTTCATCCGCTTTGGATCCGAGACCCGGATGATTTGCTGCACTCACAGCCATGTGTTGCTCGATTTGATATTCTGGAAAAAGGTACTGGAACTTGTTTTGCCCGAGTAAGCTCGCGCCACGTAATCCAGAAGTTAGCCACAAGCTCTGTTCGGGTTGGGTGTAACCTTCCCACACATGCACGTGCAATGAAGTTCGTCTAGAATCTTCTGATGGTTTGAGGGCTCTCTTTTTCAGGGTGCTTTACCTTGATTGCCCTGCTGAGACTCGCAGAGACAGCTGCAGAGCATGCCGTGCCAGTCACAACAATTGTGGCAAAGCAGGGTGGCGAAAAACACCCTACCACTACCCTGATTTTGCCGCAATCGACTCGGCCTTGGCCGGTGGCGGGCGGAGGGAACCCTGGTTTGGAAGAGTGCCCTAACACGAAAAAAAAAACCTTGGGTTTGAGGGGTTTCCAAACTTTTTAGTCCCCCAACGGCGACGCAGGCACAACCATAAAACCATCATCGGATCAACAAATTTCAAGAATTTATCACTGAATTGTTAATATACCACGCAAAGCAAAGTTGTTATGATATTGTAATGAAAATTCATTTTCCTTACTTCGCGTCCCTGTTCAGCGCGTACACCACTGTTTCCCGCCAACAGCACCCTTACAATAATCCGTTACCACTTGCGACATTCGCCTCGACACTATTCCCGCCGCTGTTCAAGACGCGACCCAACCTCGCGGTTCGGTTGGTAACCCGCGCTCCGGACCTCCGCCTCGAGAATCCCCAACCTCGGCACTAGGCCCATCGCGCACCCCATTTTCCACACGTTACCGTTACCACTGTAGCTTCGCTATATACTCTTCGCTCAATCCTTCGCTCATTGTATTCTTGTCTCGATAGTGCAATCATCGCTCGCTCACTCAATTGTACTCGTACCACTTGGTATTCAGAGCCTACGATCTTCTCTCGGGCCGCACCCACACCTTCGCTTCCCCACTATCTCGATTTTTTTTTTTTGGGGGGGGGGGGGGGGGGGGGGGTGTCAGAATCCCAACCACTAGACCATTGGGATAAAAGGGCTTGTTAAGTAGCGGGTCAGTGCGCCCATAACCCCCCAGGCAAACGCGCCTGTAACCCCCCCTAGGATCGATCGGGGATCTCACAGTGCAGCTCTACTGACACCCCCCCACACTGGGAGGCCCAGGACTGAGCACAGTGGCAACGGCCTACATGTGCATACACCGGGATTCGAACCCGAGACCCCTCTGATACCATGTCAGAATCCCAACCACTAGACCATTGGGATAAAAGGGCTTGTTAAGTAGCGGGTCAGTGCGCCCATAACCCCCCAGGCAAACGCGCCTGTAACCCCCCCTAGGATCGATCGGGGATCTCACAGTGCAGCTCTACTGACAGGGGGGGTAGTCGTCTCTCAGCGACCAAGCACCGCCACTCGTAGTGCTCTCTCGTAAGCACGCACGGCCACGACAGAGGCTCTCGCTGAGCTTGCTCGACACCCCCGCCATGGCTGAAGTTACTCTCGCGACACTGACGCAAGCACAGCTCGACCGTCTCGTGCGCCAATTCGAAGATTCGGCCCTCGAAATTGCTACACTCATAGCGGAAAGCGACTCCGCTCGCCAGCAATCGACCCTGAATGCACCAGCACCAACAAATGCACCTACACAATCAGAGGAGCCGATCGTCATCTCATCATGCACACCGACACAGAACGACAGCGTGGGACAACGCTTAGGCGTAGCTTGTGATGGCGCCACTCACTCAATGCCTGACATGGACAGAAATAGGGCCGCACCAAGCCCGCGGGAGCCTCGCGAAGCCCGTCGGCACGTGGAATTTGCTGCGACAAGTGGTGAGCACGCCATCATGGCACCAATGCCACTCAAGCCGCAGCGCCCGCCCTGTTTCGACCCGAGCCAACGTGGAGGTCCGACGGTTCAATCGTGGGTCTTCACGATGAACGTCTTCTTCGACGCGAATTACGTCGAGTCGGACGCAACGAAGATTCGCTACGCTGTTTCGCTGCTGAGGGGCCCCGCCATGGATTAGTGGCGAGTCATCGTGACGTCGCCATGCGCCTACAAGCCACCCTCGCAAGAGGAAGGGCCCACGGGCCCAGCCGTCACCTGGAGTTCATTCTGCGAGACAGCCCAGTACAGCACGTGGGATGCGTGGTGCGTATGGCTTCGGGCGCGCTTCGAGCCAATCGCGGCTTCTATTTCGGCACGTCAGAGACTGCGTACTTGGCGGTAGCTCGGATCGGTTCAAGACTACGCGAGTGGTTTTCTCGCATTATGCGAGCAAGTCGGCTACATGCACGAAGCGGAGCGGATGGACCGTTACGTCGGAGAGCTGAAGCCGGACATCTCGCACGAAATTATGCTACGCGGGCTCTCGAATTTTAACGAGATCCTCGTGCTTGCCGAGAAAATCGACATTTTGCGCCGTTCGAGACCGGGGTCCTACTGTCCGAATAATGAACGAGAATGAATGAAGTATGAAAGAGTTGGGTATAAGTACTAACCCTATTGGGTTGTACCCCTTATGGGCTACCCCACTACAGCCTACACAAATGTATAAGCTATAATGTTCTGACACACCCCCATAGGCAAAGTGGGGGAGAACAAGTGGTCACAAGACCAGTCAAGAAAGGCAAAGCAAGCTCAGGGTGGATCACAAAGTCACCACACAGTCCGAGCACAAGCAAAGGGCCACAAGGCCAGTTCACATGCAGAGTTCTATATATAAAAGAGAACAAAAAATACAATGATCATACCCTAGCAAGTGGAAGCATGCAGGTATATATATAGATCACAGTACAAGCAAAGTCACGCAGTAAACAAGTGAGGCAAAGTAGGCACAAGGCCTAACACAGTAGAGAAACGCTGATGATCACCAGGAGGAAGTGCCTTGGTGAATATATCAGCAGTGTTGGCCCTAGTGGCCACGTACGCAAGACGAAGCTGGCCACGCTGCTGCAACTCTCGAGCAAGGAAGTATCGCAGAGCGATGTGCTTCGTTCTGTGCTCCAGTCTGTGCTCGTGACACAAGGCAAGCATGGCCTTGTTGTCGACGTACAGAACTGGAGGAGAACGAGGCGCCTCTCCCAAGTCGGTCAGCAGGTAGGTGAGCCAGCGTAGCTCCTGTGCAGCCATGGCCCCAGCGTAGATCTCAGCCTCACAACTGGAGATGAGAACCAAAGACGAGCGGGTAGACCGCCAGGAGACAGAGCCAGAGCCAAGGCTGAAGGTGTAACCCTGTGACGACCGCTGCGTACCTGAGTCGTCAACCCAGGAAGCGTCTGCGTGACCAGTGAGGACAACTGGACCCCGTCCTCCAAGCACAAGCCCCATGCCCGACGTACTGCACAAGTAACGCAGTACCCTCTTCGCAGCATCCCTGTGCACCTTTCGGTGCCTGCCGGGAGCCACGTAGCGAGCCAGGAGGCTGAGAGGGTACGTGAGGTCGGGTCGAGTGCACGTCATCAGGTACATGAGGCAACCCACAAGCTCTGGGTACGGACCACTCGGCTCTATGGACTCGTCCGAAGGTGGAGCTGAGAGCGAGTGGCTGGTAGACAGAGGAGTGGGCTGTGGCGAGGAGAACTGGAAGCCGAAGCGCTGAAGGACCTGGTGCACCATGTGTGACTGCGTCAGGGTAATGGTGCGCCGAGCTCTGTCCCGGGTGATCTGCAAGCCAAGAT